GTTTTTATTTCGCATGCGAACATCGAAGCAAAGCTTTTTTAGCATTTTAATCCTTATGTGTGGCGATGTGGAGCAATGTCCCGGGCCTGGAAATTTTAGAAGGAACATCTCAGAATTAACCTCATTGACTAACAACAAAGGAATGAAAATGTTTCACCAAAACATGAGGGGACTCTTTGGAAACCGTGGACATGTGGCTGAACTGCTACAAAGTTTTCCAGGCATTGACATTTTGTCACTGAGTGAAACACATATCGAAGCGGGATTTTAGCAAAAAGAAGCAATATATGACGTACCTGGTACTCTTTCATAAATCGTCCAAGGAAGTCTGGAAAAGGTGGAGGAGTTGGAGCGTATATCGGTGATGGTGTAGTTTGGGATCGACGATACGATTTAGATAATAATAACATCGAAGCAATCTGGATTGAGATTAGGCCAAAACATTCGAAGAGTTTCCTAGTGGGAATTAGGTATCGTCCTCCTGATAGCTCTAAATATCTTAGTAAAGATTTCAACAACCATTTGAATAGCATGCTTTCTAAAGTGCCTGAAAAATCACAAGAGACAATCCTCATGGGAGACCTGAATGTGAACTTTCTGAAGCAGGACAACAAAGAATTCAAGGCTATTTTGAGTGTTTTTGGTCTGAAACAAATGGTTGAAAAACCCACGAGAGTAGCAAAATCATCTGAAACTCTGATAGACGTCATCTTAACAAATAACCCGGCAAATATGATACAAACTGAAGTTATTCCTACCAGCATCGGTGATCATGACATGGTTGGCTGTGCAAGGAAATTGAATCACTCTGGTTTTAAGCCAAGGAAAATAGTCTGTCGCGATTATAAGAACTATCGCCCAGAGGAAATGAATAAAGATCTAGAGACCATTGACTGGTCTACTTTTTACATCTGTAGAAATGGAAACGAAGCCTGGTCCCTATTAAAAAATACTTTAGAAAAACCTTTTGAGCGCCATGCCCCAAAGATACACAAAAATGTAAGGGGTAAGCCTGCTCCATGGCTAAACATTGAAGTCAAAAAACTTATGAACGACCGCGATAAACTTCTCCGCAAATCGAGAAGAACGAGGGCGGAAGTGGACTTTTCTCATTAAAAACGAAAAAGAAATGAGGTCAACATTGCAATTAGAAAAGCAAAATCGACATATCATAAAGACCTACTGAGGGAGAACAGTGCCAACCCAAATAATTTTTGGAAAGCAATTAAATCCATATATCCAACCAAGGCAGCAAATGCGGGATCATCGATGCACTCCTTTGATTTACAAGGTGAAAATACAAACGATGCGGTTAAGGTGGCCAATGGTTTCTGTACCTTTTTCACAACAATCGTTACAACTTAAAGTGAAAAGGCGATTCCGCTCTGTAACTTTGTTTCGAGACCCCCAAGGCCAGTACGCAATAGAGCTGAAAATAAATTCAAATTTCGCCCCGTCTCGAAGCTTGAAGTCGAGCGAGATCTGAAGTCCATTAAACATACCAAATCAACCGGTATTGACAATATGCCACCAGGTTTGCTGAAGGATGCTTCATGCAACTTATCCGCACCTCTGGCCCACCTAATTAATCTCTCCTTGCAGACAGGGACTTTTCCAGCAGACTGGAAAGTTGCAAAAGTTGTTCCAGAACACAAATCTGGTTCTTTTTTCAGCTTCGACAATTACAGGCCGATTTCAATACTTCCGGTTCTGTCTAAAATCATTGAAAAAGGCGGTACATCGGCAAGTCATGGGATTTCTCGAAGTTAATAAGTTTCTATCAAAGTTTCAATTTGGATTTAGGCCTAAGTTGTCCACGGAGTTAGCAGCAACTCTCTTATTTAATGAAATTCGGCAACATGTAGATGAAGGGAAAGTAGTTGGTGCAACGTTCATTGACTTGAGTAAGGCATTTGTAACATCAGTCATTCGAACCTGCTTCAGAAATTACCTCAGTACTGAAACTGTGATGAAGAACTTGGATGGTTTACAGATTATCTTTTTCATCGATCAATGGCTGTTAGCTATGGTGGCTGTTTGTCTAACAAGCAAGATATTCAAACAGGAGTGCCGCAAGGATCAATTCTGGGTCCCCTACTTTTCATAATATTTTTCAATGACATAACCAATGTGATAAAAAGTGCAAAAATTGTGAAGTATGCTGATGATACAGTGATATATGTAGCTGATAAAGATGAAGCAGTTATTAATTCTAAGCTCACCAAAGATATGGATGCTATTGCCAAGTGGCTGGACGAAAATGCGCTGATAATAAATCTTAAAAAAGGAAAAACTGAATCGCTTCTTTTCGGAACATCACAGAGGATTGAAAAGCAAAATGAGACACTCACTGTCATGTACCGAGGCGCAAATGTATTGAATACAAGCCATTACAAATATTTTGGCATTGAAATCGACAGCTCTTTGAATCTCAATAGCCATTTTGACAAATGTTTTAAACGCGCATCAAGCAGGCTGAGGCTGCTGGGAAAGCTTAGAGATTGTCTTGATCTCACCGCTGCGGAGACGATTTATCGTTCACTGATTCTGCCTACTTTTACCTACTCTGGAATACTACTGCTGAAGCTAACTGACACCCAATTAAGAAGACTAGCTTCGTTTCATAATCGCGCGGTAAGAACAATACAAGGAAATTTGAACACTAGCGGAAGAATTCAGTCAGTTGTCAGTGCAAATAAGATCCGTGCAAGTAAGCTGGTACGCAAGTGTATTGACAAGGACATTTGTGACACTTTTCAAGGCTTCTTTGGAATCAATGACCACAATATGAGAACAAGAAACAATCAATGTCTTGTCAAGTTTCCAAAAATAAAAACTGAATATGAACGCAAATCGTTTCGTTTCATGGCAGCAAAAATTTACAATGAACTGCCTATCAACATACGGAAAACTGAATCATTCAATGCCTATGAACCGCATCTTAAGCAACATTTTACCTAGGCTTCTTATTTTAGATATGCAATATATGATTTAGGCTCCTTATTTCAAATATGTAACATATGGTATTAATACAATTATGTAACATATGGTATTGTAAATTTTTCATTTTTTTATATAATACCTTTTTACGTTAATCAGTACACACATTGATAACAGCAGTAACGTTGTAAGTGTTAATCCTGTATAAAGATTCGTGTTATTATTAGTACCTCGAAGAAGGCCGTTACACATGGCGCCATAACTCTGCATTGAACTTCCTAGCACAATCTTTAAAAGCTATACCTAATTGCTCTCTTTACGCAGATCTTTCAGGTTATCTCTCACCCTCTATCATAACAGGAGACTCTTTCCGTCCTGATCTACTTCTAGTCACTTCTGACCATCGACTATTCATACTCGAGCTTACAGTAGGATATGAAACTAACTTGGATGTTAATGCTAACCGCAAAAGAGAGAAATACTCGAATCTCATTCACAGCCTAAGCTCAGCCTATTCCTCTATCATGTTTGTTAATCTTTCTATCAGTTCCCTAGGTATCTTTGGTCTCTCTTGCTCCTCTTTCATCGACATGTGCAACGCTCTAGATATCAGCGAGAATCATCTCCGCTTCATGATCTCCAAACTATCCAACTTAACTATCCGTACTACCTATTACATTTTCTGCCGCAGAAATAAATCTTGGAATAATCCTGAACTTCTTCAGTTCTAACGATCTCTGCTACTGACGACTTCTAAAACAAACAATGACGAACATACTTTTTCCTTTTTTTTGTTAATTTCTTTTGTTTGTGCTTGTAATAGTCTTTTTCTTTGTAAACCCAGGCTAGCCAATTGCAAATTACCTTTGTAATAGTGAAATTTGTAATTGTAGTTTTAATTGAATTGAAAATGAAAAGTTTCCATTATTATTATCATTACAATAATTTTACAAGTCCCACCCTCGTATAGGCCCCTCCCCCTCAAATAGGCCTCCATCCAAAAATATCAAATATAAATAAGCCCCTGGGGGCTAATTCGGGGAATTTACGGTATTAACCTCTACCTTTTTAATGAATGTTAAAGTTACCAAACAATCTTAAATGATTAACAGTTTTTACCCCAAGTCAGTTCCGTCAAAATAAAAACTATCTAATGCTTAATATTGGCCAACTACCCAGATCTTACCCTTTCAGGAAGTGGGCTTGCTAGATGCACCAGCCCTTATACTGCCTGTACTGGACAATTCCGTTTTTTAGAGTCGGTGTCAACACTGGGAAACATTTTCCCCGACTGATGCATCTGCCAATAGGACGAAAATGATCCTCGGGAAAAGAACGATAGCAAAATTGCAAATATAAGAAGATAGAGAAAAAGGGGGCGGATGGGAGGAACGTGCAAAGAACGTGTAATTGCTGCAGCGAAAAAAACTAGAGCGGGGCTCGGGGACAAAACCCCTCAAATATCGAGTAAAATACTATTGCTGGGGTTATAAACCACGTTACAGTTTTTGTGACTTTCTTGACATATTCTAAACAGAATCGATTCTAAAAAAGAATCGAAGCATACATAAACTGTATCCAGGAAATTTCCCAGCAAAATCAAGGAAATTTCGGATCCGCTGACACCGCAGATATTCAGCAATTTATTACTGATATCAAGAGCAGCTATGTAAAATGCGTATTCCTACCCTAGTGCCCTGGGCTCCAGCGCCGCAAAAATTTAACGGCAGCAAAAAGTAACTAGAGGTATTCTTTTGCTGCCGTTAAATTTTTGCATCTCTGGTACCAAGAGTACTTCCCTGAAATTGGGACAGGTAAATGTTTCTCTTATCTCCATTCTCCTCCCGTTTTTCTCATCTCCATTTCCACCCGATTTATTGGGCTCTGGTACCCAGAGTAATATATTCCCATCTCTATGGTCAGATAAGACATTATAAACCTAGATATGTAACTCAAACACCACAATAGATGTAACCGTCATTGATATTTGAATTTTAGATTTTTCATTTACATATAACCGCATTGCCAAGGAAGTAGCGAAGCAGAAAGCTGTAGATGTTAGCCGTGTACCAATTTGTTATTTCCAGTTATATACATAGAACGATCAGGATAACAGCAATATGATCAAATTCAAGTGTGTTTTTTTATAAAGAGATACCAATACAAACATATAAATTAATATTGAAGCTTTGTTCAAGCAGAGTCAAAACGAACACAGTATTAAGTTACACAACAAGAGAAGAAGTAATAAGGGATGGGGGGACGAAGCGGGACCCCAAACTTGAGAAGAATTTTAATTTGGGATGATACACAAAAAGCTTTTAACCTTGCGATGTCGATTGTATACCACTACTTGTCTTTCTTTAGCACCTAGAACGCTTTTTGGCTGTTACATTTTCATACACGAAGGAGCAAAAAAGGGCTGCAGCTACAACTTTTTCAAAACATGGAAACGATATGGTATTACGATGCACAGCACATTCTTGAAGTGCTGGCCATTAGCAGTACCAGTGAATTAAGCCATTGATATCAAACAATTTTGAAACTGACCACAGCAAACCTTATATTAATCAATCATGCAATCGTGCCATGGTTTATCATAAAGAAAGAAAAGAATTAACCAACTAATTTTACCTAGAACTTTTCCCCCCATTAGTTCACATTTCTCCTCCACAGCAGAAAGTGCTTTCTCAGATTCTCCATTTATATGTTACATGACCCGTTCAACTTGTACATCAAGGCAAGTACAGTGTCAACTATGGGTACATATAACACTAAAGAACGGATAACTCTTGCTTCTAAAACAAATGTCCAATTACCTTTTAGTAGAAAACGATATTCACTCGGTCTGATCGATGCCGCAGTGGGTTCATCTACATTCAACCCTTGAAGTACATGACAATTCATTTTTTTGTCTTAGTAATTACCAACGTAATCAGCATAATTATTAATGCGACAGCTAAAAACAGAATACAAAGCATCTTCCGTGAGCTTTTCTGGTATTTCTCTCCCTGAAACAACAAGACATAAGAAGGACTAATGCCCGGATTTCCAAATCAGCAGCCACAATCTTAAGCTTAGCAGTCTTGTGCTCTAATGCATACACTTTCTGTGCATTAAAAGTATAAATAGGACAAATACCCGGATTCTGAGACCACTGATCTAAAAATTAAGTCCAGCAATCTTGTGATTAACTGAATATATTCCTCTGAAAGATAGATGCGACAAAAACTGCTTGCGACATCGTCAGTCACAAGCCAAATTCGAAGAGTCATTTTGCACATACCGTATTGCACATACCCTCCAAAACAACAGTGCATATGAAACTAACTGCAAAGCTGCCTGCAAATTAACAACAAACAATAAAGCATTTTGTGAATGCTTCTTGCATGTTGAGTGAAAGTTGGCTAATCTTGGCTTTACGTTGGACAGCAGTTCAATCATAAAAGTGGCTATAAGAAAAGAGTTCTACGTTGTCTAGACTCTATGTTCGCCTTCAATGCCCACATTGCAGTTGAGAATTTTCTGCATTGTCGGAGATTTGATTGATGGGCATCATCAAACACCAGACAACATCAAAGCTTTACCACGATAAAAACGAATGGTCAGGATCACGATGTAAACTCTAGTGACATATGAAACGGACTGGTTGATGCTGACTTTAATTTGGGCAACAATACCTTGCAACATTGTCATGACACCCTTCTGTTTCAAACAGAATAAATCTGGTTGAAAACAATTTCAATCAACCTATCAAAGCATGGAACCTAGCATGTCATTCGCACATACAGAATCGGGGGACAAAATGTTGATAAATGAAATGGCAACAAACGAATTCGAAGACGAGATTAAACATTATAAAGTACAAACCTTTTTTAGCTGTTCCAAACCCTTTTCAACTTGCATCGACGACTGCTCAACGTTGTAATCAATTCTATCCAAAATAGTTCCCTAGAAAGGATAGGGTAGAACTACTTTAACAAAAATTCCTACACCAAAAATAAACCATAGCAAGACACCCCAACCTAAGAATTTTCTCTATCAGAAAAAGACTTTGACGAAGTAAGATGAAAACTCATAGTTTATTAGAATTTCAACTTTTGCTTAACTTTACCAAATTTCACATCATACCCATCTAGTATTATTCCACATAAAGTCATCATCGATTAACTGCTCAGTGCAGTGGACCAGTAAGCATATAGTCCCTACTTTCCTTTTTAGATTGCAAGTTGAAGTTATGTGTCTGCATCCTCCCAAAACGTACCCTAGCGCTGTTATATGTTCCCAGTCCCTGGTTGTCACGTTTACAGGCACTATTTTGAATTAATGGCCTTGAACACACGAGAGTATCTTTGCGGAAAAGTGAAAAGTGGGAACTGTGAAAATCACTAGATTGAAATTGGATTAGATCACGCGGTCGTTGCACAATTATTTGTCTTTAAAAGAAAATTTTTCACAGCCACGCAAAAACACGCAACTAGGAAATGCATGTGCCATTTTGCCGCAAGGGTCCTTTCTTGGTCCTATCACGTTTTGGTCAATATACAAACTACCTAAAAATAGCATCGAATGCAATGTATAACTTTTGTGGAAAACATATCAATTCAGGGCTTCGTTTGTGGTCCAGTGTGCGCTGCATTGTTCGTAACTGTTTTCTTCAATTTCTGTAGTTTCTTGTATAGTTTTCTTAAGGTATAGTTCGATCTAATCTAAAAATTTTGTAAATAACGAAAAAGCTGCAAGCTACTCCCTGTCGTGTCACCATACAATGTAATAGACTAATAGTAGATTGGACATTTTGGGGGAATTCATTTAGCAAACCAAAGAACTAAAAATGACATGGTGTGAGAAGACAGGCCATCGGTCAGCTACATGTACCGAAAATTTTAATGATTAAATTCAAATGGTTATCCTATTTTTGAAGAATTTTTTACTAGAAGATTGTGTTGGTTCCACAAGTGATCCCTAGACTTTAGTGAAAAAATGTAACCAATATTTTATCACAAACTACTCATTCATATGAAACAGTTTTTATACTTAAATAACAAAATGAATATCAGAAAACTTTCAAGACAGTTAATACACAATAAAATAGAATCCTACAAATTATGTCTTAAAGTTGAGTCATATGTGTATTCTGATGAAAATATTCATTTAGATACAAAGAAAAGCAAAGGGGTGGACTTTTACGTTGACTAACCTGATCAATCACCATAACAGATAGATCTTTGAAGATTTCATTCAAATCGAAAATAGATCGAACAATGTTTTGGATTTCTTTTTCTCGTTGCGATATCATTTGAGAATTATCCTCCACCTGCTGCAGCTGTGCAGTTGTGAAACCCTTCAATCAAAAAAGCATCAATGTTAATATGCTTCGACCTTAAAATAACAACCCTGTGCATAAAATATTGCTTCGATCCAACAATATTAAATAGAAACTCTATTTTATCATACAATGAACACATAAGTGCAATAGGTAAAATAACTGAAATGGCGGATACATGGTATATCACAATATCCATACATACAAAAAGACTTTGTTTGCTATTAAAATTAGCTATAATTTGCTAAGTTATTGCATTAAAAAGATTCTTGCAGTGTTTCTTAGCCAAACTGTTGCTATTAATCGTTGCTCAAATCAGGTTTACTTGACCATATTTCTGACGAGCCTATTGAACGGTTGTAGATAAGAAAAGAAGGTCTGTATTCTAGTTGAGTCTAATATAATTGACAATCTAGTAAAAACATAAATGAAAATCTTGCAATCTAGACGTTCCCTTATCAATCATGTTCCATCAAATCACAATACTACTGAAAATACTACGATAAATCATCTAGAAATTATCTGGAGAAATTTAAAAAGGTATTAAGATGTGACAATAAAGCCCATATGTTAGTTAATAGCAAGGTGTAAGCAACAGAACAAGATAAAAACCTTGTCGTAAAGTTCATCAATATCTGCCTCTTCCTGAAGAAAGGGACTGTTATCCGCTCCAATGCCAGTATCAAAGAACTGCTTTGACGTTTCCTCTCGATTTTTCATGCCTATGAAACAAGAAATCAAGTTCTTGACATTGGAACTAGAGGCATATAGATTTGATGGTTGCATGATTTAACGCCGAAATGCAGTGTACCTATTGTTAAAATAGCATAAACGGATAAGAAAATCAATGAATTGGGTAACTACGAGGGGTGATGCCAAAATTTCTAGCTAAAACCCTGAACATCCAAAACGGCCTCTTGTTCTGAACTTCTTTAGAATTTGTTGGATTATCAATGAATTCTCCTTGAATGGGATAAAAATGATTTTGATATTTGTTGTGTAAAAAACCTTTCGGTAATATTCATGGATATATGCGGACAGAACCTTACACACTTTACTGGTAGGGATATATTTTCGCATAATACCTTTGTAAGTCTTGTTATAGAATCTATTGAAAAAACAATACTAACAAAAGAAACGTTCGGTTGAGGAGGCCCAGAAACAAAATGTGGTAATTAAACCAAATTTGTTAATATATAACTACTGAACGTAGATACAGGAAGTTCCTTACCATTGTAAAGATACTGTACAATATTAAATCTATGGTAAGATACTGCAGTATGAAATCAGTATCATATGGAAAGAAACTGTACAGTATTTAATCCGTACAGTATCATACGTGACTGCACAGTATTAAATCAATATAATATCATAAGATACTGCGCAGAATCATAAGGAAAGATACTGAACAGCATCAAATCAGAATCATATGGTAAGATACTGCACGATATTCAATCAGTATCATATGGTAAGATACTTCTCAGTATTAGCTTATTTAACATTTTGAAAAAACTGAAAGTAACTCAATCTGACACTAAAAATAATCGATAAAGACCAACAAAGAATAAACAGAAATAGCTAAAAAGGTTACTTACGTTTTAAGTATTTCGATTGTGCTTTTTTGAAATTTTGCGACAAATCTTGCACCGTAGATGCCAAACTTGAAATCACGTTTCGCACCATAATCTGTTCTGATTTGCAAGCACCCCTGCTACGCGAACTAATTCCTTGAATAAGACGCTGGCACTGATGAAACATCTACAAGGCAACATATGCCGATTATTATAATGATTAAAAATCAACGGTTGTCACTTAACAACTCCTGGAATATTTAGCCCTAGCCTGCCTGCAGACTCTTGAATTGAATTGCAAATGTTTATTCTCCCTCCTGGTTATAAACATTTGCAATTCAATTCAAGAGTCTGCAGGCAGGCTAACCTAGCCCTGGCTTCCAACATTTTAGTCAAACTGCAATAGAGAATTAGAAAAGCCATCTTTTCTTATCAAGATTCAGAATTCTATAAAAAACGTAACAGTGAAACTACTGCTATACAAAGTACATATCTTTGTAGTAAGTGAGATATTTCATCACGAAAATCATTACTAATATCATCCGTATAACAACCTAAATGTTTTTTATAATCTGATAAAAATTTACAAGTACATATTACGAAATACATTACCTACAGGAAAACACTTTATACCACTACGAGAACGATACCCCGAGATGCAAAGGATTTTGTCTATCCCGGGGGCATTAAACATACGAGAAAAAGATCGAAGCTACTTGGCTATCATCATCAGGTACCATTTTCTATCAGAAGTTTGGCTACCATGACCCTCCAACTATCCCAAAATCTGAGTTTTGGTTTGTTGTCATGGTCATAGATAAAACTTGGCTATAGCTACACACAAAATACTAAGAAAACTTATAAATATGGTCTTAATGTTGTGATAACTAATTCATTCTTCGAAAATCTTCAAAATCTTCACCAATGAAAATATGAGGTGTATTTTTGGAGTAACACCAGCAAAAGTATAAATCTACAATAGAAAGCTTATCGCAGCACAAATAAATTCTCAATACAATTTCCAATCGGAGCATGAAACATCTTCATGGAACATGGACTACCAACCAAACGCTCTCATCCGTGTGTAGAAACTCGTTTGGACAACTGCATAGAGGTAGGTGCCTGAAATATTTTCAATTCCCGTTAACCGTATCTTAATAACACGCTAACCAAACGCAAGCACGTGCATCTCTGAGAATTAACCTCATCTTCTGAATGTTTTTTTGTTCTTTCATTTTGTTGCCAGGTGTAAAGCGCATTTTGAAGTCGGCTGTCAGATGCGATGATATAAATCTATTTTAAATCCCATATCAATCTTTTTCTAGCACATTCATGAAACTGTTCTTTGCCAATATGTGAATACGCAGGGTTTATATTGCCCTGCATATTTAATTCATTGTACATCTTAAAATAGACTTCTTAAAAGGGCGTCACGAAAATTTACTTATATAATTTTTGATCATGGAGTTCTACCTTGAAAAGCATCATGAAATACCGGCATTAAAAATTATTTAAATGAGTTAAGAATTGGCTGAGATATGACCACATGAGCAGAGGCTCTTGCCCATCAAACGTCTGTAATTTGATCTTGGTTCATAACTTTATAAAAAGAGCCAAAAATACCCTAATCTGCTGAGGTATATCAGCCGTGGTCTAGAACTATGCCAAGACGACCATTTTGAAAGCACGATCATCTTTATCAACAATACTCGAAATGACAAAAACTGCCTTGCAAAACACCTTTAACATATTTTGCTATCATATAGCAAGTTACGGATCTCCCCCTTAAAAATTCCATAAGAGCCACCTTTTACATATTTTGCAATGGTAACATGTTGTGGACAACTCCTGAACACTTTTAATGTTTGCTCATTGCACGAATTCCGTTTCTTATGTTTTCATCCATGTGAATTCAGTACCTAGATTACACATTCAATTTGTAAGTACTTGCCTGTGTGATTTCTTGTGTAGTAATTTCAATAACATGTTCTTCCTCCACATTGTCATCTAACGTTGGTCTGTTTAGATGTCGATCGTGAAGCGCAGAGAGGTCTTTTACTAGGAAGGATGAACAAAAGAATGAATTTGAAAACAGAAGAAAAATGAGAAAACTTGCAAAAAAAGAATAACTTAGGTTCAGAAACTTTTTTTTATGAAAATTCTAAAAAGCTGTATTCTGTTCTTCCCGAAATCAATCCTCCAGCTCTGGTTCAAAGGTGATAAAGAAATTGAACCCTCAATTTTTAGAAATTTGCTTGTAATCTCTTGCGAGAAAGGCATGGACCGATGCTCAATTACTTGGCAGAATTTTGTCTTTAAAAGACAAAGTTTTTTGTGTTTTGCTTTGAACGACAGAAACCTGTCGTGAGTGGTTGTCAATGACAAAGATTTGGAAGATAAATTGACAGGCCAATAAGCAACAACGTTTCTTGTTTTCTGGAAACTTCCAGCCAAGCAACTTCCTGTCTGTGCTTCACAGACGAAATAGGTCATGTGTGGGTACTGCGAAGGCAAAAATAATCCTCTTTCAAAGACGAACATCTACTGTGCACGGATTGCTCGAAGAAAAAAATCTTTGTCTTTCATAGACAAAAGTCTGCTGTGTGTTGTGGGCTTCAGGTGAGAGAGAAATTTGGTTTTAAACCCATCCATCAACATCTAGAAAAATGCTTCAGAAAGCCAAATGCATTCTGCTAATCACATATGCCTTTATTAGACTAGATACCAACATTTGGTTGCCAGATTTATTATGGTAAATATATATGTCAATTCAAAGGAGGTTTTTCATATCTCTACACACATGAAGTGATATTTTATTCAAAATTAATAAAAAACAATCAGTAATAGAAATAAAGTACTTACTTCGTTGCTTTATCTTTGAAATTTCATATTGAATCTACGTAAGAACAATTAATAATTGATTTAAAAAAAAACAAGAACATGATAAAATGATTAGGTTATCAACTTTGTATTTTCAAACCATCAAACCATAAATAAAAAAAACAGAAGTGTTCTCTTTAAACATCAAAATGTTTAAACACAGAACACCAAGAAAATATTTTGCATTACACTGCTTACATCATATCTCCAGTCTCATATTCCGCCACTAGTTTTGTTAGAACGAAAGAATTTAAATTAAAAATCTACTAACTACATAAAAGAGAAATGTGACTCCATATTTTAAATTGTCATTAAAGTTTTCTAGAATGATTTAATGTCCATATTTGCTCCTTTCCTGGAACATTGATTTTTAAAAAGGGATAAAAAAATTCCTAAAGAATATTTTATCTTACAATTTAAAAAGAACTTCAGCTTGCTTTCTGTTAAAAAGCTCTGTCATTGATTGAACATTATTTCTCTCACTAAATGTTTCTCAAATGAGTTATTGATTTATGATGGTTTTTCTAAAATCATTTACAATGGCGAGTGAGTAAACTCTAGCCCTGATAGCAACCATTGCTTACTAGAAGCGCAAAATAAAAATGCCACAGAGGAAAGGGCAGTTCTAAAAGCTCCAAAAGTTTTCACATGCTGATATTTCAATGCAGAATAGCTTACTGGTGCTAAGATATCCTTACCACCGTTCTCAGCATTTTTTGTAACATATGTTTTTGCTGTATGAAAAATTCTAAGCAAAACTTGTGTTTCTGGTAAGAGCTGTTTCTACTTAAAGCAAACTGATAAAATGAGAAACTTTGTGCCAGAAAATCTGATTTTAACTGATAAACAAAAGGATTTAAATCCTTATCCAAAATATCATAGTCCAGGGTTGAAAATTACTATCTCCCTAAGAAAATGTATACCTTGAGATAAAATGGTGAAGGCAATACCAACTACAAGATGGAAACTAACCTCTTCAACGCTGTCAACCCTAGAAAATTACAAGAAGGGCAATGAATCTAGTAAAAATTTCATAGAATGGGTGATAAAATAGTTATACTTGCAAATAGGCTAATTTAAAATATCCACATAGGCCTTTAATGCACAGCAATTTCTAAATTGCAAAAAAGCAAAGCTTGCATTGTTAAGCGTACCTTGTGCTGAGTACAGAATATTAGATAACACCTGGAAGCTTAATGAAAGTAACGTTTACATTCAGAATAGATGAGGAAAAATGACCCATAGAAGGCAAACAAATTTTCACATTACTTTCCATAACTTGTTGCCTGCATCTGGCGAAAACGAAACCAAATATGAACACATGCCATCAATTGCAACAACCCAGCTAATATTAGAAATGATAGGAGTGTTTTAATGTGATGTTTAATTGAATTGCTAAAATACTCTCATGCTTACCACTGAGGGGGAAGTGATGAAAATCCTCCACCACCATACCCAATTTCAGCATCATGATTTTGCACAAGGGAAGCAGTGTCATCCTGTGGTATAGAAACATAAAACTAGGCAGCATTAGAACTGATATCTGAGCTGGAGAGATAATCCCAATGCAAAGAATGGTCTTCAAAAATGCTATATTTTCATTGCTGATCTAACATATAGGACCACTTTTCTGCCTTATTGGCGACTGTGCAAGATGTAAGAAACTTGGTAGAAAAGGCCAAAAACGATTGAGGAGCAGCCTTTTAACAACATATAACATATTTCACGTTTACAACCAAGAAATGCTAAGACTGAAGCTTTCAAACCTTTAAAAATGGGCCATTCCATATCAAAGGGGGAAAATTTTTTTTGAAAATGTAACCCACTGTCTCAGAATCGTTCCAATATTTTGTAGGGTTGTTCATACTAATGAGATAGAAGAACCCTGCAAATTTCAACTCAATATCTTTATTTGTTCCAGAATAAGAGCCACTTGAAATTTGCACAAAATTGGCTCATAATTCACTTTCCATTAAATGCTGTAGTGTCTCTGACCTCTGATTGGCTGATAGGACAATAGACCCGTCAGAGCAATAAGCTAAGTTTGGCTAATGGTTACCCTCCCTAGATTGTTTGCAAAAAAGACAATATGCAACCAATAAACCAGAAGTCCCGTGCTGATTGAAAGATTCCTCTGTTTTGGTGCCAAATTTTTCTCACACTTTTCTTAACTATAGTTAGGCCATTTTTGTTAGATACCCCTAAGCCCATTCATTGTTAGGATTTTCTCTATGTTCCCTTTTGCATATCATTATCTGTGGCATACTTCTCATTCATACGTCATATGTCACGCGTCAAAGCTTGGCCTGTTCGAGATGCAGGATTTTCCCAGCATTGTTTTGGCCTAGTCATATTTTTGCATACTTTTCATTTAGATAAGTTTACGTTGCATGGCATCATTTAGCCTAGCCCTTCCTTTTACTTGCTATTGACTAGTTACCATAATATTTGTGTATTGCTAATTTTAGATTCCCTTCGTACAAGAAGCCATTCGAACAAAACTCTGTCACTCGTCGTAAGGTTTTAGGTTAGGTTAGGGCCTAGTAAGCTTTGTATGTTTTAGTTGTATCAAAGTGTCTGGGTTATAAACACAGTGTATTTCTCACGTTTTTCCTTTTTCTGAGATATCTATGTTTCAAAAAGTCAAATTTTAAAGAAACATTTCAAAATTTGTATGGTCTGAAAAGGAGATTTTTCAGAAAAGAACTTATTCTTAAAAATCTAAAAGTGTACTTATTGTTGCAGGTAAGTGGGAATTGATTCAAAATTGCAAAGTTACTTGCAACTAATAAATTGTATTAAGTAGAAGTACTTGATGTTTTATTAAATTAAGTCTAACAATGGATTCAGTTAAGATATTCTTAACATACTGATCTCTTATATACAACTGTTAATCTACAATCAAGCTCCCACTTTCTAAGAAAGACCTCATCATCTAATAAAGCCCCCAACCTGCAAGTAAACAATACATCATACTGTATCTAAATTTCTTTCTGGGATAAGATACTGTGTTATATGCGATATCAGTATTTTTCTTCTGTATATATCCACCATTCAATTTAATAAGCCCCTCAAAATAAGCCTCCTTCAAACAACCCCCCCCCCCCATGAATAAGCCTGTTTTGAATAATCCTCTTTGAATAGTAAGTCTTATTTCAAATAGGCTCCTTATCAAAAATTCTAACCTTTTTTTCAAAAATATACAGCAGTGCTTTTTGTTGGATTTGGTATGCAAACAACAGCAAATTTTATTGTATGCAAATAATGGAAGAAGTTAGATGGTACTTTTGGAATTTTTTAAATCAAAAGCTAATCTGGAAAAAGATATTTACTTTTGGCTGTGTGGAGACAAATTAGGTTTCTACACTGTAGGGAAGGTAACAAAGAAATTGAATCTTATTGAAACCCTTGACCATGAAATATTGGTTTCTTCAAACAAAGAGTCAATTGACACAGCACTAAATGAAATTGATGTGTCCCTCTTGAAACTCCATTCTATATAACACCTCATTTGAAAATCATGCAAGGAAAGAGAAAATTGAAACTGGCAGCAAACATGTTTTAAAAAATTGGTGCTGTGCTGGACATTGACACTTCAGACTTGACTGAAAAGAAGAGCCAGTCAGAGATTTGAAAGGAGATTGTGAAGATTTGCAATACATAATTGCATTAATGACGGAGAAGCTAAAAGTGTGTAGCAGGAAAAGGCATATAAAGATTTTAGCCTTAACTCCACAGTCTTTCTTGGTCAGTCAGAAAAGCTGCAAGAAATTCAAGCTGTCCAAGAAGATAAGGCTGGAAGTCTTATATAAAGGAATTCTTGAACTGCCCGACTTAGCTGCTGAGAAGGCCCTGGATAAAAATATAATGGATGTTTTGGTTGTAATGTAAAATGATGATTAATTTACAAGTCAGCTCCCTAGAAGATCAGCAAAAATTTCCATGCCTCTAAAAGACTGATGCTATGCGATATAAACAACTCTATACAGCATTCAAGGATAGAAATCCACAACTGAATTTTGGTTTCTAAAAGTTGGTAAATTCAAAATGATGTGTTCAAGTAGGGCCAAAAGGAACATACCTAGTGTGTGTCTGTACCATTAACCAAAACTTAAAGATTACAGCTCATGATTTGATCATTTGTTATAGGCAATCAAGTATGTGGTTGGGTTTTGAATGAATATGCTTTGCAATTAGCAAAGTTGAAAAGAACCTTCTTACAAGAGTTTGTTTTTAGGGACAGAAAGATTACAGCTCTGATAACAGTGACTAGGTAAATGAAGTTGCAAGATAAAACATTGGTGTCGGGAAGAGTGCATGACAAACAAATAAAGAATGAACTACCACTGACCATGCAGAATTTATTTCTGTGACTGCAACAAGAAATGATTTCTGTGACAGTTTATTTGCAGTAGCGTACCAAGGGTGGTAAGTTTTTTGGGGGGCAAAGGTGAGTTGAGCAAGGAAAAATTGGGGTGCACCCCCTTTGGAATACCATATTCTGAAGGAGAATATGTCTGCAACGCAGGCTAGCCTCCCCCTCACTTTGCTACTGATTATTTGGTATGGCCAAACAGAGATGATGTTTGCTGAGTTCCAAATGTGAATATTTTAATGATAGTGAGTGCAACATTTCCACTGCCAAACTCCAGGTGGAATTATTCCTTAAAAAATGCTGACATTGTAAATATTTAAGAATATCTGAACTGAATTCATTGTTAGCCTTTAATTAATAAAATATCAAGTGATTCTACTAATAAAATTTATTCCTTTGCAATATTGATTCATTGCAAGTTCCTTTGCAATATTGAATCAATTCCCACTTACCTGCAACAATAAGTACGATTTTAGATTTTTAAGAACAAGTTCTTTCTGAAAAATATCCTTATCAGACCAAACAAATTTTGAAATTTTTCTTTAAAATCTGACTTTTTGAAACATAGAAATCTCAGAAAAAGAAAAAATACTATCTCTGATTATTTACACTAGACAAGCTTAGACATCACATATTCAATATACAAAGTAGGGATTTGTCAAATTTCGGGAACATTTTCAAAAAAGACACATATGGGGACAGCATAGTTGTTAAGGACAAAAGCAACCCTTTGGATGACGAAATTTGCATTGCTTTTCATCTTCAAACTCTTGAGTATTGATTTACCTATAAGAGACATTTTCAGGGCAAATTCCAAAAGGTACATTAAATTTTGCCAAAAAGATTTGCGACAAAAATTCAAAATGGCAGATTTGAAAAATTTGAGCCAATTTGGTGCAAATTTCAATAGGGATGTACCGGATATCCGGTAGGCCGGATAATCCGGCGCCGGATCGCTGATTTTTTGAAAATCCGGTTCCGGCCGGATTTGTTTCCGAAATCCGGCCAGTTGCCGGATTTTCCAGAACTTTAATCAAAACTAAGAAAATTTTGAAAATCAAGTCAGACTCCCTTCATACAGTGATGAAAAATGGATTTTCCAGAACTAAACAATACCAACGATAAAACAAGCGCCTTGAAAACAGATTTGAAATGAAAGTGCTCGTCATCACGAAACAGGAAGACTGGATGATATAATTCACAAATTTGGTCCAGGGTTGCCAGATCGGCTTTTTAGGCCAAATTTTTCATTTTTGGTTTTTAGATTTAGATTGCCTGGAAAAATTGTTTTTTGCTTACTACTTAAATTTGACCTTGTTGGCCTTTTCATCAGACTCAAAATTAAGATCAGTAATGTGTAAGAAAGTAATTACTTCACATTCATAGAATAATTAGTAGTTAACTACAAAGTGTTAACCAAATTTCAAATTTTATCACTAACCTAAATATTATCTTGATATTAGGGTTTTGAAAAAAAGTAAGATTCTTATCAAAGTTAAGAAATTATCTAACAGGCACAAGCGTAGAAATATAACCAGTGCCTGCTCGATGGATTCTTGAGAGAGTTTTTGATTTGGCCTTTTTATGAGCATTTTGGCTTAAATTGCTCACCAGTCTAGCCTTCGTTTGTAAATTCAATCTGGCAACCCTGAATAGGTCTCTTTGATCTTCTCGCTATACATTTTTTCACAAAGTGGCTCAAAACTTTTTATTACTGGAAATTCTATAAATGGTCAGATTATCCGGTAGAATCCGGCCGGATAGTCCACGAAGAAATCCGGTAAATCCGGTTCCGACCGGATTCTGAAAATCCTGATCCGGTACACCCCTAAATTTCAAGTGGCTCTTATTCTGGAACAAATAAAGATATCGAGTTGAAATTTGCTGGGTGCTTCTATCTTATTAGTATGAACAACCCCATAAAAATTCGGACAATTCTGAGAGGGGGTGAGTTACATGGGTGTCCCCCTTTGATATGGAATGACCCAAACAGCTTTTTACATTATTGTTACAGATTTTGTAATGTGAAATTATTGAACACCAGCAGATAGGTAGCAAATGGTTTTGCGATGTGTAAGAAAATACACTGCATCAGCATAATGTGTATCTACTGGGGACTAGCACAAACTTGTATGTTTGTTGCTGCAGCCTTATAAAAGACTAAACAAAATGCTTACTAATCTTGAAATTCAATCTCATAAGAAAATTCAATTACAAAAACAAAAAAGAAACTAGAAATAATTAAATTTCATCGACAAAAAACAATAGTGTTGTCCCATAGGCAGATGACAACTGTGAGCAGCTAAAAACCTCACAGTAAAAGAACATTCCATAGCAACAGGGGCCTTGAGCTACTTTAAAATGTAATTTTGAACAAAGTTGTGAAACCCATTTAAAACTCCCATCTCAAAATAAAAGTTTTTTGCCATCTTGGGATGCTTTGTCAATAAATTTTCAAATTTGTCTGCAAAAAAAGGATTGCTCACTCACGTTGCTGGAAAATAGGGCCTGGATACTTCCCTTGAGCAAAATAGCTAGTGATTGCACCGCTTACACCCTAATAATTTAAGAATATACAAAGGACAGCCTTAACAGCTATTTTTTAAATGGAAAACTTTAATTTTGATGAAAAAAGTACTGAAAGATGGTGACCTTCTTATATCAACAGGAATACATCAACTGATTTCAGTATTAACAGAACTGAAGTATCATGACAAAATCTGTCAACCTTGGTTTGTTAGAAAAGTGTGTAGGATTTAGGCACTGAAAATAAAAAAAATGCTCATAGTTTGGAAGAGTTAAACTTGAATAGTATTCTAGCCTAGTTTGAAGTCCAGTAGCCCTTTTCTGGGAAGTTGAGAATGGTAGAATTGAATAAACTGCTTAAACACAACATTCTGTTTGCATGGTGCCTTTCAAGAAGCAAATGCTTTGACAACAATTAGACTTAAGGTTGAATTCATATAAATCAATATTTTTTGACAATAACTTTGGGCAAACCGAGGAAACAATTTGATTCTCCTGAGGAAAGTTTTTTATATGAAAAGGAAATAGATCTACAAACTATTTTTCTTGTGAATTATAACTTCCTTGGAATTTTTTACCTTTTTATTGAATGGCTAAAATGAAATGTGGCGTCTCTGCAATGAGGCAAATATATTCCTGACATTTCACTTTTACAGTGTCAGGAAGGAGGGCTGATCAAGTCAAATCTAGAAACCTCTTTGTCCGGTTCGATAAACAGCACTGTAAAAAACATATCTACGATGGACTCACCGATCTAAATTCGGCAACAATGCTGCCTCTGTTGTGCACAGATATATTTCTAAAGTTGACGAAAGTCTGAGTGAGAGTTCTAGTTGCCATCATTTAAATAAAACTATCCTCGAACTTTTTACCTCCTCTTTTTGACAGCCATTTTGACACTAATTCGGCATAACCTCGATTTGAAAATGCGATACATCACAAAGAATCCTTTCTTTTACAAAGTTTTTGCAAATAGCATTGGCAAAGGAATTTTCTCAATTATTATTGTGTGAACTTGCTTTCCCCCAATTTAAATTTATTGTTTCAAAATTTGTAATTCTTCTTGTATGCAGTTACGCCACTATTACTGAATGGAAAACACCTGATTGTGATTGTGTTGTGAAGAAAGTAGGGATCCCTCTGTCTACATCAAATGTCCGATGGGGGAAAGCTGAAAAAGGGGAGGCGAGTAGAACCAGTGAAATTTCACTAAACCCGCTCTACATTTTGTCTTGAAATACAGCTATTTGTGTGTTTCATGTGAATTTCAGCAAAATGAACTCGAATGTAGAGCTTCAAAACTGCTAAGAAGCAAGAAGATACCCACGAAAAATGGTTTTCTCAACTTTCACTCCCTAAATCGAAGAAAAAGGAATTGGTACTTACTTTGTTCCAGTCATCCTCATGTATGTGACGATTCCTGTAAACAAGAAAAGACTCAGTGTGACTTCTCGTTAATCCTGAAAATGATCCCTTAACGCTGTTCATCTTCAGGAAACTACATGCCTCCAGAAACAAAGCTCAAATTTTGCTTTCCTACAATTAAGAATTTCATTATATTGAAAAAATAGTTACAGTTCACAAATTACAAAGCTCAATCCAATATTCGTTTTGTTTTTTGCTGTTAAGAGTTAACCAACAGGTCACGATCAAGAGGTAACTTCATGCAGGTTAAAATCTATAAAACCTCGTTGTGGTGTGGGTTTAGCACCGAGCGACTTACAGGTGAAAGAACGAATTTATTATTTTTAATGAAAAATTAAAAAAACCTTAAACAAGAAGAAAATGCTAATACACTTTGAAATAATAAATTTAGATATACCTTTGCCCAAACACAAATTGAGATAGCAAAATGAAAAATAATTGCTATTACTAAAGGAAATCACAAACCTAAAACCAAAGGCGCATTTGTTAGTCGCTGGTGTTAAGGCAAGGTCCGGGAGCCTTTACCAAAGCCCTAAAAAGGGAAAGGGGGTTGAGTTTTGAAGAAGAGTTTTGAAGAAAGAAGGAAAGATCAATCTTGTTGATTCTAGATTTGAATAAAGACAGGCTATGAGGGACAGGAAGCAGGAAGTGGGTAGAGCGTTTCAAAGATCTCAAGGTCTGGATAGGAAGGATAAATTGTGGGACAGAGTTCGTGAATCTTAACATGCATTTGATAAAATTTTACCATCAAAATATAATCTAATCTTGGAATCTACATTTTATTCTTTGGAGAACAAGAGTCCGAACACCTTGCACTCAAGAAAAAATGATAAATATCCTGTCAATGCAGAGGGCTTGGTCTAGTTTATGAAAATGATTTATATTGAAAAATAATGAAAATAATTTTTTCAATGAGACCATTGCAACCTTGCATGTTAAATCCTCGAAGAAATGTGCACTGAAACCAAACAGGAGGTAGATAAAATGGTGTATGATGAGTTTTTAAGTCTTGCAAATTTGGAACCGTTGACAATTTCAATTTCATAATTTTAGAGGGTTGCATGAGTTACCACCAGGTTCTGGTAGAAACTGCGGACAGGATATTTATCAATATTGCAAAGTCCATAAATGTGGCAGCATTTGATGACTAGGACACAAGCTAGTTAATATGAGGTTCAAAAAATTCATTGAGAATAGAAATTGATGTGTTAATATGAGGTAGAAGCTCTTTTCTAACACGCATTTGAAAAGCACATTTTTGCTGAGGGGCCATGGCCCCTCACTTTTTTGCGAAGCAGATAGTTTTAAAGCTGCAATAAAAGGAGAAAACGCCTTGGCCTCTACTTTTCTTAGCCTTGGCCTTACCCCCACTTTCAAATTCGTGGCGTAGGCCCTGCATCACATTAATCCATAGTCAAAATTGTTTTGCCAACAATAAAGTTCCTTTAACCTTTTTTGTTAAACACTACTGTTTAAACTCGTGCTTAGTCAGTAAAACAGTAATTTTGGTTAGGTCATACCCTAGTTTCATTATTAGAAGCTGTATTTAAAAGCACTTCATTAGAAAATTCGGTATATGAAAAGCGGCATCGTTTACAACACCAAATTGTTAAGGGTGCATAAAGTTTTGCGTTAATTGAATGAAATTGAATACTTAAATGAAATTGAAAATCTGTCCTTGTGACAGGAATAAAATATTTTGAAACTACTTTCATTTCAAGAGTACTTTTTGGTTGCTCATTTCTAACATAAGTTACAATGCTGCAATGCACTGTGTTTTAGGCCTTTTTCTAAACTCCTAACCCTTGTTCCTCGATTCCAGGGATCCCTTTCCGCAATTTACACAATGCCTTGGCTCGCAATGCAAAAGTCACATGATCCCTGATGAAATTCGAGGAAATTTCTATTTGCAGAGATTTTCTGTTTCTCAAATCGTTACCAGTTCAACTGCAGCTGAGAATATACTGAATTCCAGTTTCCTGTCCAAGCAAATGACTAGATAAGAAGCGTTTTCAGTCGCTTTCAAATTCACCTTGTTTGAAATAGCGCCAAGTCGTGCTAGAAGACGTTCTGCATTGCGTAAAGAATTGCTGACTTGAAGCTCTGAAGTTTGTTGACACAGTCCAGTTTTTAATTTTAATATCAAAATACTGGAAAGGATAAAGAAGAGTGACACGGTAAGTTTACATAACAGTTGAGATGTACATATTTCGAATTCTTCCCTGCTGCAACTTCACGGACTAGAATAAAGAAGCTCGTCTTTGTGAGAGTGCTTCCTTTCCAACGTTTCCAAAGTTCCAACGTTCATCACAATTATATTATCTCCCTTGGCTACCAGGTTCCGTAACAGTCTGTTCCGCAGGCTGGGTATCAACATGGACCAAGAATGCAGTTCGGGCCTTTAAGCAAATAAATTGTTGGAACAAAGGACGCCTGCAGCCCACAGAGAGTGACCACTCCCTGCCTTCATCCAACTGGAGCAAATGTGCCTTTAGTAGATACAAGGGAATTAGGCACACATGGCCAACTCTTTTTGGTGCCCGAGTCTCATATTTGCCATCTCATATCAGACTTCAGTCATCTATACATCCTATCAAACACGGGGGGGGGAGGGGGGCGTAGGAAAATTAGATACCCAAAGCAAAAGATTTTGTAAAAGCTCTAATGTTTTGCAAAAGTGAGGGGGCATGATGGCCCCTCTTTTGTCGGAGGCCCTGAAAACACACGACAAACCTACATAGATAAAAGGAAAAGTCGCTTCATCAATTTACTCTAACTGTAGCCACGGCCGTTGACCACCTACCTTACCTCCAATTATTCACATAAGTAGCATACACTTATCAAATTTACCTTCTTTTTGGTACAAAGATACGAAGAGGATGGGGTTAATCGTTCTCAAATATTAGCAATGGGTCTGACTCTGAGTATAATATGCAAAAACAAAATAATTAGCATTATGACTAAAACATCAAGCTCTTGTTTGGCGCACACCTTTGTCCTCAATCACCACGATGTTGGTCACTTTGAGCAACGTAAGTGGAACTATTAATGAAACGTTCACTTTTGTTGTCTTAGAATTTGGAAAAAATCGCTTCTGTTTGGAAATAATAGTGCGGTTTTTATGATAGTGTTTTTCTTTCTCAAATGGGCTGTGAAAGCTGTGCAACCATTCATAGATTGTGCCTAGCTTCTGTATAATCTGTTAAGTGTGCACGCTTTTGATGTGTTTTGAATGAAAAGGACTTTGGAGTTTGCCAAGTGATCCTGCCAGAGCATGCAACACTACACGGATTTCTCAGATCTTTGGACTTTGTGATTTTCATGTTTTAACGCCAGGACTAAATTCCAAATTAAACAATTATTTTTGAAAGAACCGAAACACGCTAATCAGGTAATTATTTGCTATCTTCGTCAATTGAAACTGTTCTCAAAATCGACTAGTCTCTTTATTGTTAATTCTCTGTGCAAAGAGTTTAATTTTGCTGTTATAGTCTTGTCTCTCACCGTATTTGTCCAGAACAAGGTCTCGTAGCCCGGCGTATGTACCTTTGGAGAATTGTCTGAAAATAAAACGATTTCAAGATGTAAATGCTTTACGATCGCTGTGCAAAATCAGCCAGCATATGGTCATACTGTGACATGGAACGGGCAGCACACCAGTCTTTCTTTCAGTTTCACTGTACACATGAGTACACATTTCTCATTCTCACTTATCTACCCGTAAGACGAAGCTGTTATTTGAATTTATTTTTCAGTGCTTGCTGCAAACCAGAGGTGCTGCAAACGCCTCAATCTGCTCTTGTTGCCTTCCTAAAAAATGTTCCTTTTTAGAGTTTCCTTTCCTTGTGAGTAAAAGTTTCTTAGAATTAGAAATTTAGTAAAATAACCTACAGTTTGGTCCTTACGGTTTGTCAGGAAGAAAGAATAGATCAATATCATCAACATCATTGAATTCTTCTCACTTTATACATTTTTGCCAAGTTATGTATTTGGCCATCCCCAAACCAGTGGCGGAAATTGGGGAATGTGTGTGTGCGTGTGTGCGTGTGTGGGGGCGGGGCGGGGAGGGGGGGCAATCTCTTCCAGGTTTTGCTAAATTGTCGGTTTTGTCAGTAAAATTATGTCATTTGTCGGCAAATTTGCTTGCTTTTATGGGCATTGCTCCCCCTCCCACTTGAAAAATGAATTTCCGCCACTGTCTCAAACGACTGCATCACTGGGTAACCTTCCTCCAGCTCCGAGCCGTGGAACCGTAATGTTTTCTTGACTCTGTTGCAAGCATGGCTTTTCATTTAGTTGCTGGAAGGAAAAGAGTTCTGCCTAAACTCAAAAACACTAATGTGCTTTATTGTCTCTGCATCTACTCAGTGGCAAACTTCTTTGCTCCACTACCATTCTGTCAAACTGGTTTTCGATTTTGAAACAATTTCAAGAAATCCTACATATGTTTTTCAGTACCTAGGTCCAGGAAAGTTCACCACTTCAATAAAAATAAGGTCTAGATGCGTCAAGCCTGAGCTTTCCATTGAAGCCCCAAGTTTAAATTCGTAATCTGTCTAAGTTCTTGATTTTTTTGTAGCAAAAAGCAAAATGAAAAAGCTTTTCCTACTGCTGACAATTTGTGCGTTCTTCGTTGTCTACTATCACAAGCCTGTTGAAGCGAATTTACTGCAACTCTGTGAGCAAATAGACTACTTCAAGAAATTCGAATGGAGTGCTGGATGTCTCGAATTTGCTGACTATGGCTGCTTCTGTGGACCTGGAGGCTGGGGCAAACCAGCAGACGAAGTTGATGCTTGCTGCATGGTGCACGATCATTGTTATGATGCAGCAATGGCTAAGTTCCCGTACTGCTACCCATACGTATCTTATTATCATCACGAAACTGGAGTTTGTCGTGAGTATCCAAGTGTTAATTCAAGTCAACCCAATGTAGCGTGGGCAATCCAATTAAGCGTGCACTTTTATAAGTATAATAAATTGTTTTTTTGTTAGCTTTGAGAATAGAGATTACACTTATTAACACTAACATTAAACAATACCAAAGATTGCATTGCACAGAAATGTCAATTGCTGCAGAATGAGCAGACACATTTCCTTGCGAGGTACCACGCTTTCATCATATGTATTATATTAATCATCAGGGCCTATTTTAAGAAATTTTTAATACTGCACATTTATAACTACATTTTTATAGGAAATTTGTTGTTGCAATTTTTGGAAATTTCTAGTCATTTCGTTTTGTTTTAAGTTTTGATTAGAGAGTCTTTCCGATGGTCATACGAGATTTGCAATACATGACCTCTATATCGAACTGACGGGGAAAATTCACATTTTGTGAACAAAGCGAGAATCTGGGATAGCGGCAATTAGACATTTTCACAAATCCCAAAATTCAATACTGCACATTTTCGAAATCAATACTGCACATTTTTAAATTAATACTGCACAAAGTGTGTAATACTGCACACTAAAATAGGCCCTGTTAATCATATTATGTAACCATTGTTAAGTATATACCTTCCTGTTCTTCCAAAGAACGGATCAATGTGCTGCGCTCTGTTCTATTTTTTTGGGTCCAATTTTGGATGTCTCTAGCCAGCAAAATACATAGACTTGCAGTTGAGCCCAGAAATATCTGTTCCTGTTCTTGTGAGTTCTGAGTTATTGCCCCAGACACGTTATCAACTTTCATGTTTTCTAATGAGCAATCATAGATTTCTGCTTCACAGACATACATGAAATGTATTTATTTACATAAAACTTTAGCTCGGTTTTTACAACTTGCAATTTTTCTGTGAATATATCGTAATACCCTAGGACTGCTGAGATTTTAAACAATTTAAAGGCTACATTTTCAATAAAGAAGAGCAAAACATGGTGTCAGGTCTTGAAAACATTATCGAAACTTTGTCCTTATGAGCCCTGCGATAAAACGAAACACGTGTCATTTTCAAATCTTCACCGTTTGGGGGGTGATGAGGCACGCTTGAGCATAAAAACAACTTAAAAATGCAATTTGAGTTTACAAAATATGCATGCAATATTTAATTCATCAATTGTCATTCAGGCCCTTATAGGGGTATGAAATCCGCTGTTGGTTACTTTTTCACGAAAGAGAATTACGATTGTCATATGCGACCTTCAAACTGGTTTATCTTTAACCTTGGCAATGTCATCAATATAGGGGTACATATGCCATGTCTAACTATAATATTGTCAAGACTGTGAGTGTAGTTAATTTACTTAAGACAATCCAAAAGACAATGATTATTGAAACTTTTGTCGTGGTTTCCTAGTCAACAGATCTTCCAACCTAAACTAATTTTTTTTCTGTAGTTTCATCAGTGAATAGCAAATACTTTACACTGTTTTTCTTTGCAGATGACAAGAACGACACTTGCGACCGCTTTGTGTGCGAATGTGACCGAGCGCTGGCTCGCTGCCTGGTCTTTAAAAGGTATCATGCCAAATACATCAACTATCGATATCTGGGACACTGCAAGACCAATGGAACCAAATACATATTGAAGTAGAATGTTATGAGGAGCACCGTGTGTCTTTCTTGTGGCTACCATTAGCAAGAAATGGAGACTTAGCTGCATATATTTTGTTGTGTTTTGATATTACGAAACATATGAAGAGTTGTTTGGTGAAATTGCATAACTTGTCGTTTATTACCTTAAAATGAGAACTGGTTTGAATTATTTACACGCTGAAATTAGCAAATTTAACATAAACCTCTATTGATTATGAATTGTGCTATCTTTTGCAAAGTTCTTAATTATTTTCTCGTTCATTGATGAAAGAGATCGTTTTAATGATAAAGGACTTTATTCTTCTGAGAAATCTCTTTACTGTTCAGTGAATCAGACCTAAAATGTATATTCGTTTCTGTTCTCTATCATAATATGATGGTTCAATTCTGAAGATTTTGCTTGTAGTCCAAACATAGATAATTGAAAGAATGAGATTGAAAAGACACAAGGCAGTATCTCTTCTTTTAAGAAAACATGCATGGTCACGATTGTTCCTAGAGCAGAAGAGAGATTCCGAAAGCAATCTGGAATAAAAAATGTTCATGAGTTGCACTGCATGCAAAAAAGAAGCTCATCGCATTTGTAATTTACCTACAAGAGTTAGTGTTTGTCTCCAGTTGAAAGTTGCCAATTTTCAATGAATTATATCAAAATTTGTTATGTATAATGTTTTAACAAAATATCAGAGATGCATCAAGCCAAGGGTTTAATGAGAAAATCGATGCCTTTTAGCTTTGAAGACATATTCCGTTCATTAAATGATTTTATCGGTTAGCGTTAACAGGTTTGATATTCAAACTTATACATATCGATGATAGTGGTCTTTTGAATGAAAAATGTCTTTAAAAGTACAGAATGGCATATGCTTTGTGAAATAAATAACTTTTGCTTAAAGAAGGGGAAAAGTACCCAAAACTAAGCGAATAATAAGCAGTAAATTACCTGTCTTCTTTTCGCATTTGATATTTGATGTGATTTGCTCCATCATTTTTAAAGGTTTTTATATCATAGTTACAGTATATCAAAAATCTAGAGCAGGTCTATGTGATGAAGTGACCTGATTCCAGCGATAAAAACAAATCCGTATGCCAAAAAGACACACGATATTTACGGTTTTCCTTATTCTATCAATCCGCTTTTACTTTTTTACCGTTGCGTCTTTTCTACGAATCATTTACCAATAAATACTTCTTAGACTTCAGCAAAGCCATAGCAACTGGGGACATAGCAACTGGGGGGGCAGCAGCCCCCCGAATCAAGCAGAATTTATCAAATTTCAGGCTCAGTCGGGCAATTTCCTCTCAATGAAGCAACAATACTCGCTTAGCCTTCATTACGCCCATATATTTCGGTTCTCCATCTCAACTATTTCTTTTCCCCTAGTGTTTCTTTTCATTCTTCAACAGGATTTACTCGATAACTAGGCGCTAGTTCTCATGTCCTTATATTTACAATGAAAATTTCATGAAATAGACGTCTTGCTTCTTATGCAGTGACACTGGGGCACAGTATGGAGCGAGAGGGCAGTTATGGTAGTTTGCCACCATTATGTTTCTTGTCATGACCTTGTCATCACCAACTTAAAAGCATGTGGGAAGCACTGATGGGAAGACAGTACAAAAGTATACATTTTGCATTTCAGTCATTCTTCGAGATTTTCACTGTCAACGACATACCAACATTTTTTGCTCATCACATTTTCCCTCACTATGCCAACAGCTAGATTTATTTGCGATTATTCAGAATTTTAAGGCAATACCTTGTTGATAAGCGATTCTTGTTGTTTAAAGTCTTAGCTATATGTCCAAGTATAGGAAAGGGTACTAGCTTTAACAAGATAGAAAGGTTTTATCTGAGGAGAAAGCAAGTCGCGAGCTTGTCTGATGACACAGCAGAAATAGCACCAGATGATACCTGGTATATTTTTTAACACTTTCATGTTCAGTGAGGATTTGCGTTCTCCGTTCGTGGTGTTTCAAATCCGAAGAACGACTGGACTTCCTTTATCGTTTACGTTAGGGAGCACTAACAGCAGCAGTCTTAGGGACTGTAGGGCTGAAGACATCTACTTGGTTCTGAACATTTTTTAATTTTTTTTTCTCAGGTGCGGGGCCCCTTAAGTCATAATCGGCTGACGTGGCTATAAGGCTTTAAGTAACTTTTAAGCTTGCTTGGGTGTTCTTTATTTCCAAATGCAGTTGATTATCGATCTTCACAGGGCAATTGATTAAGTCAGCAAAAAACACTCCCCATTTAAATGAATATAAACAAAATTATATCTGAATCAATAGGCGCCAGTGAGTAAATTGTGTCTGATAATTCGCAAATATCTGGTGGTCTAGCGGCACGAAACTTTGATTGATAACGGCGCAAGACGACATTTCTTATCGGCGTATGCTGGTAGTGCTATTCGTATGTATTATCACAAGAAAGCATTCTCTGAATAGAACTGATAATTTTTTCCACTCAATAGAATAGATGCTTTTCCTTTCAAATCGCGCTCTACAGAGAGCTCTTTCAAGTAGACAAAACACATGTGAGGCTGAATTTAACTTTGACCAAATCAAGTATGTCATGCCTTTTGTTGTTTGAGATCTCAAATACTTTAATTGTCTAATGCTTTGAAGATGTCATGCTACAGTTTCATGTGAAATTTATCTCTGGATAAGAATAATACAAAAGATTCCACAGTGAGAAAACAATTATTTTTGAAAAGGGAAAAAATCATCTACATAAAGTTCAATAATGTGAAACTTGTCTGTTATTTGCTAGATTTTAAGATTATTTTAAGAATGAGATCAAAATGCCATCAATTTTTTATGCAGTTAGAAGTGCTAGTTAGCTGACTAGCTGCCAAAAATTTTCCGTTGTTGCTGCTTATCTATAAAGTAATTGCAACGGAGTTCTAAATTTTATCTAGAAACTCCGTTCTCTTTACTTTAGGATTTTTAACCCAGTAATTACAACTGTTTAAGCCTTCAAGGCCAGAATTTTAAACCTAATTACCACTTTCAAAACAAATTTTTAAGTATCATGGAAGCTAGCCTTTTTGAAACTAAAAGTTTAAGACAAGGAGGTTTGAGGAAGACTGTTTCATGACTCCATGAAGGAAAATAATTCTCAAGTTGAACAAGAACTCATGACTCGTTTGCATTTTTTCAGTACCATGTTCAAGAATTTGCTGTTTATATGGAGGGAAGCTTTCTTAATAGAGGAAAGCAGATATATCGCCTAGCTTTGCAAGTTTCCCGCTTCGAAAAATGAAAGAAATTTGCATTTTGGTTTTGAAAACTTTCATGGAGCAACTAGAATTACTTTATGTTTGCACAAGCACTTATGTTATGCCATGAAAGAAAATTTATAGTCTAGCATTTATATATATAGCTTTAAACTTTTCTTCCAAATGTAGAAAAGTTAACATAACAATGCAACTCGTCAAAATTGACTGTTCTGGTATTTTTATCTAGGGCAGATTTGAGATCTTTGTATTCAACAGATCTGGGTGTCACTTGCTCAGGAGGAATATTTTCAAATCGAATTTTGACAGCACCCTCTTCATGTTGTTTGCATGGCGATACAGTTTTCCCATCTTGATTCCATTTCCAAAATGTTGAAGACTCAAGCTCTCTCAAGGGCTCAAAAATAGCATCAGCTACGCAAGTTGATAAATCACTTCCAGAATATCCCTCTGATTGTTCCAATAATTTTGTCCACTCTTGATTTGTGATTTGAAAAGGAACCGACTTGAGGTGAATATGGAACAGCTCTTTCCGTGTAGATTTGTCTGGTAATGGGATGTAAATTCTCTTCTGAAATCGTCGCACAAAAGCAGAATCTAGCTCCCAAGGACAGTTTGTAGCTCCAAGAATAAAAACATTTGATTCTTCTTCGGTGTCCGTGCTTTCCATCTGTTTAAGAAGCTCAGTCTTGATTCTTCGCGTCTGCTCTTGCTCATTTGAATTCCTGCGCCTGCAAAGGCCGTCAATTTCGTCAATGAATATAATGGATCGCCCTGACTTCATTTTAGCATTATTGAAAAGATCTTTGATAAGTTTTTCTGTTTCTCCAAACCAGCTTGATAGAAGATCAGAACAAGACACAGAATAAAATGTCGAAGCAACTTCTGATGAGATGGCTCTGGCTATTCTTGATTTCCCGGTCCCTGGTGGGCCAAACAATAATATTTTTCGCCATGGCTTTCTAGCGCCATTAAACAAATGCGGATATTTCAACGGCATTACTATTGCTTCTCGTAAAAGTTTCTTCACCTCTAGAAGCCCTGCGACATCATTAAAACCAATTTTTCCAGGTGGCACTATCGTAGATTCAATAGCTTTTTGTCTTCCAAGGGCATCTTCCCCTAAATCAGGCTTGTGCTTTCTTTTTCTATCGTTTGAAATCGAATTTGCTTCAGAAGCACGCAGGCTTTTGCTCTTTGATAATAGGAAAGACACTCCTTGAAGAATTTCTGTCCTGATACAGTTGTTCTCTTGAGTTTCAATTTTGTTTATCTTTGTGATTGCTGTCTCCAGTTTCTTTTCGATTTCGGCCTTACACACCTCTTCGGTCTGGTCGGCTACTAAACAATAAAAATCCTGAAGGAAGTCGTTGAGTTCAATGTAGCGTTTAAGCAAGTCGGAACTTTGAAACATGATCTAATCTTTTCCAGACTCAAACGATGCTTTGAATTTTTCATTCCTTTAGAACTTTGCAGATTGGGGCTTTTGGTAAAACTGACGTTAGCAGCATGCATTTTGGCGCGAAAATGAAGTTCAAAATGGCGATTCATAATGGCCTAGCTCTGTCTATTCGTGGTCACGTTTCTGCGATTTACACTAAGTGAGCAAAAGTATTGCACCACCACGACGAATGAATAATGGCGTCAGTGTTGTGAACAACATGCCCTTTTAAAATTCAAACCACTTTTTTGAAGCCATTAAGCGTTATTCCATGATTAAAACTCAATCAAACAAAACTTTAAACCACTGGCAATACTTTTCATTTTAATGTTGAAAAAAATATATCTTAATATCAAAAAAGATAATTTCTCATTGCACAGTCTCGAAGCTTTGAAACCCTTGTAAAACTTGCTTAATTTAGTCAAAAAATTTTACAATTGGTTACTTGTAAACGCCACATGATAAATTTAAGTAAACTTTGGCAATATCACAAATAGGCGTTTGAGATCCCAAAATATCATTATTGGCCTTGAATTTAACGAAAAGTGACACTTTTACAGCCGTTTTTTAATGAGGGCTTTTTGGGCACTTGCGAGTCACTGTTTATGACTGTTTATCGCAGAAATTTTGGTATTCTCATTCAACGAGGAGATGAAATGCTGTTTTGAACATATTGCTGTAATATTTGTTCCCTAAACAACATCGCAATTAGCAGGAAGAGATGGATTTAAAGGCTACAGACGTTTTATCGATTGTATTCTGTTGCAACATGTTACAAAATGGCATCCAAAATTAGGCCTTTTGCAGTACCAAAAATGTGAAACCAAAACTTTTGAGAATTCCTACAATAACAGTCAGAAAAATTAACAGCTTTGGGCAACCAAGCAAAAAGTGAGTATTTCCAAGTTCACCTTAATGAAATCTTACAGGTTTGTGCAAAGAAAAACCGTTTTTGTTGCAAATATATTACAGGTACTCCTATCATCATTGCTCATTGCTCAGCGGTTGTCGATATTGTTTAAAAATAAGAAGAAACAAAGGATATATTTGCATTTTTCATTTTCATATCTATACCTAGATAAATTTCCCATTATTTCCCACCTTAACGATCATCTTACAACTTTTATTTAACTTGCTTTAGCTATTTGAATTTGGATTTGCTACAAAAAGTTCGCAGCGATGCAGCCATTTTTTGGTGGGTGGTGCAATACTTTTGCGCACCTAGTGTACCGTCTTAATGACAAGGACCTGCTGAAAATATAAGGTAGAGATCCATCCGGAAATTGAACTTGTTTCTTGCATTTTCACGCAGATTTTTGAAAACTTGTTGGCAGTGAAAACCGTCAAAATATTCAACTTTGAAATTTTCGAAGAAGTCCTTAATGATGCAAAATGATAAACTGAGTCATGCATTCTTGATTTAAAAAACGGTTTTGAAAGTGGCATAGGGACTTAGTTTAGATCGATTGGTATCTTTGTAGAAAAATTTTATTCAACCTAAAGTGAGGCAGATATAGGAATCAACTTCGTTTCTTTTCATCAAACCATTTTGAGACCTTTCAGTCAATCTAAGGTGTGTTCTTGTTTCAGACAAATAAAAGACATCCATCAAACCAAGGGCAACATTGAGTGCTATTTTGATAACAGTAATCATCTATATACTGTAAAGAAGACTTGTCCTTATCATTTTCTACCCAATATTATCTGGCAGGAACCAAGAATTGACAATCTTTAAAGGATCTTCCTCCGTCTTGCATTATGAGCGATTAGTCTACCTCGATACCCCCTACGTAACTGAATTCTTAAAAACACTTTGTTAATTTTAAGTTTCTTATTTAATCTTGCTTAGCAACAAAAAGAGAAACTTTAAACAAATTAATTGTTCTATATATAGGTCAAAAGAATTCCTAGGCTCTATGACGAATGCTTAACTCGCCACAAATTGAATTCTAAATTAAAATGGGTTAGAATTCACTGGGCGTATATTACAATCCAAAGTTATAAAAGTTGTATTGATACAAATGTGGGAAAATAATTAGTTTTTCTTTGTTTAGAAACCCAGAAAAGCGTAAACATTTATTGGACTCTCCTTGGCCCAAGCTTTCCTTACTGCAATATGCTCAAAGCATGGTTATATTTGTTTGAAATAATGCAGAAAAGTAGATAAATTCCAAAAAGCTTTTATTAGGCCTGGAAAAATGTGAGGAAAGGCCTGTAGATGAGATGTTTAGCTTTCAAAACAAAGCTGAAAATAGATAGCCTATTCCAAAATAAATGTGGCCAAGGTTGGTAATATTTTCGTCCCTTTAGAACCAAATTGATTTAAAGAACAAAGTTATAAAAAGAAATAACAGGCTGTTTAAAATCTTTTAAACTTGGAACACCGAAAGTACGTTTCTCTTGCCCTCACCATTTGTTCATGTGGAGCTTGAATATGAATTCAGAGACATAGATTCTTTGTTTGATAGATATTCCATTTGAACATACCTAATGTTGGTAACACTATGCTGGAAAAACAAGGCAAGGTATTGCTGATAAAATTTAGTTTCAGCAAGGAAGATATCATGAAGCAGGACGAACGAATCATCGAGGCTTCAATATTGATTGGACATCGGGTATCTGACCAAAGCAAAACGAAACTCAACAGAAAAGCATAGTTTTTGTAAACAACTTTTTGTAAACAACTTCGGTATCAGAGAGAGAGAGAAAAGAGAAACACTGAATACGTTAAAAATATAATTTATCGTGCTATAAATAAAGAAGCATCTTAGCTTCGCTTGAAAATATGGTAATGATAATGATAATGTTCATGCTTATGTACTTGGTTTTTACTTGACATCATGTTGATGTCTTGCGTTCGCGGGCTTTGCGACCCACTATGGATTCGTGCTTCTTGCTCCTGCATCATATTCATCATATTACTCGTGCTGAGCTCAACATCATCATTCCATTCATGAACAAACCTATGACAAGTGTTATTTGTTCCAAAAGATATTTGATCTTTCCATGATGAACTATGACTAACTTCAGTCGAACTTTCATTACTCGAATTGTCAACAACTGGAATATTTCTACGTGGTTTGCTAAAATCGTCAAGTGACTTACTCCCTTCTAACCGAGCGTTTTGCATCGCTGAACTACAGGACGCTGTTGCGTCTTCGCCCAATCGTAAACTAGAACAATTGCGGGAATCGGAAGTGGATTTTTCTTTAATGGCATTTGTTTTATCTGTCCTCAGGTCTGTGAATAACAGTACTCCTTCATCTGTCCTACTATCAGCTGATGACCCGCTCTCATGGCGAGATCGCTGATAAATATTCGATTCCGTACGAGTAGCTACTTTCTCGTCACGTGAATTCGCTCCATCACTTGAAACTACGTCATCACGCAAGAAAACCTCGTCACGAGAAGGAGATTCGTTTCTTTTCGTGGTGGCCGCGGTAACGACACCAGTGTGTGTGGACATGGTGTCTGTAGATTCGTCTCTGTCTATCGAAGTACTAGGATTTCTTTTTTTGTCTCTCGAATAACGCCCTCCGCGGTATTTGCAAGGACAGACTTTCGACGGGTTGGATCTTCGTTCTCTCGGCACACTCCAGGGTGGTGCCTGAAAAGGGTCAATCCGGCCACATGAAGATGTCTGGCCTTTAATTTTTTCTGATTGCCCTTTGCGAGTCGCCCGTTTAGATTTTCGAGGACTGCCCCCCTCTCTTGATTCTCGATAAGCATCTTTATGACAAAATGACGAGTGCTTGGAAGCTGTCACACGCTCTTGGTTTGTCGCTTCATACGAATGATCCGATGTCCAACCACGTGGCTCTATATCATTCATAAAAATTTGCGGAGAGCGCGTTCCACTAGAAGGCGGGCAGGTCTGTCGAGAACGACACCGTACTCGCTCTGTTTGTGTATCTACTGGTCCGCCATAAGTGTCTTGCCGCTGAGGTAAACCATAAAAAGGACGATTCAGTTGAGGATGCCGCAGGTCATTTGCAGCACTCGAATCCCGCTTACTTTGACAACAAACTGGTGGAGTCGGTGACGTAAAGTTCGTTTCTTTTAGTCCATCATTTAATAACATCTCGTTATCAGTTTTAAAAGGAGAAACTTTTCTCCGTTCATTTCCTTGCAGAGCGTCCGACGAAATGTCAGGTGAACGACTATTGCTACCCTCACGAACTCTTGGCTTAGAGCGCTTCCGCTCCTGTGATGTTTCGCGAGTTGAATTCTTTTCTTGGTTAGCATACGTGAGGAGCTTTTCCCTAATGTAATAACAAAGTAGTTCAGCTTCCTCGGAATCCGGAGGGGGCAGTAACATTCTGTTGAAGCCGAGTTGTGGCTTTTTTTCGCTTTTGTTTCCACTGTTCTCATGATGATTCTCATGATGACCAATCGCTACTTTGATTTTCAACATTTTCATATCTTTCGAAGGAGTTTGAGCACTGTGGTCTACGGTCTCATCGATTGCTGTTCGGATTGAATTCATCACTTGAGACAGGTCCTGAAGGATAAAGAGAGATAATTAAAGATCAAGCAAAATGAAGATCATCTGGTGCAGCGTCGAACTACGAAAGTACCCTGCTATTGCTTTTCCCAATATAAAAGTGTTTGTTGCAGATGTTTTAGATCTGAGATCAATACTTCATAAAGCAGATGCGAATAGCCGCTACCCAAGAAATAGTTATCATGGCATACTGTGTTTTTGTCTCACATTAATGGAGACACCTATGGTTTTTAAAAATGTGGCCTAGTATCTTAGACAACGAAGCTGTAGAAGACATGAGTGGCTTATGAAACACCGCAATGGTTCCCATTAAATATGGGACTAAAATGGCAAATATTATTTTTCATTCACATGCGAGAAATTTAGTAACACGTTTACAAAGATTTAGGGTGGATAGAGACGACAAAAAATTTTTAAACATAAAGGGCGTCGAGACAGATTGCCTTGGCAAGAAACATTCAATACCAAGAGAAGAGTTGGGAAAGTTTAAATCTGATCCAGTTTCTGGCAAGCAAATGGTACCTTGAACGAGTCAGTTATAGGTGTCACGAATATCGTTGTGAGAAAATTCGTGCTAATCAACCTTGGTTCTAGCAGCACGAAAGTCTCGGTCACCCGTTTTTAACAGCGGGGCAAGGCAGTTGTGCAGAGTAACATGGTTTTGTCATGAATAACACAAAAATATTTTCTCATCAAAACGAAGAAGATTGCTGAACTGTCGTCTATATGTTATTATTTTCATAATGACATTACAGGGGTTCATGTTCTCCTGGCTTGTAACACTAAGAGGTCTATTATGAAAGCAATCTAACAGATTTTGTCAATGTTGGGCATGCAAACGGTTTTTTGTGTTACAGCTTTGACTTTGAATCTGACGCAAGTGGAAAATTAAAAAGGTTTGCATTTCGATATAAACGGTTATGTCAAAACTAGGTAAACATCAAAACTTCATAGAACATTTTTGGCTGCACTGATAGTATATCACAAACAGGCGGCTACCAGCATTTCAGATATTCAGACAGCACAGAACGAGTCGACTATGCCTCAAACTAAGATATTTTCACTTCTAACCTAATAAAACTTTATATTTCGTGGTGCTAGTTAAAGAAAATAAGCATTAACCTACAAAACAGAAAACGTCTTTTTCTTTTAAAAAGTATAATACAGATGCTTCGTGAAATATAGAGTGTTTACCTGTTGAGTTACTTTCGAACCTCCATCAATATCATAAACTGTGTAAGACCATTCGTTTCGATTTGGTTTTGCTTGACAATAAGAATCCTTTACTTCTTCCGTTTTCTGTAAATTTGTAATAAATTAAAATAGTTAATTAAACTAAATTCCTTTTTAATTCATCTATTTAACCAAAATATCTATAGGTTTATTCCCTAAGATCAATGAATTGGGGTAGCTCTCTGAATTCAGGAAAAAAGGATTGTGAAAGAATAATTTTACTTTATTCATTTCTGTAATTAAAAGTTATTTAAAAGATATAACACATAAGCTGATGTCTTACAAATGACATAAAGAAAAATACTTGGAATATAGAATGACAAAGAGGTAAAAAAAAGAAATTTCATTGACTTTGGAGTAAGAAAAAGCGTAGACAGAATATTAAAATGTATAGAGCACAATTGGCGGAAGCCTAGTAAAAATCAAAAATGTAAATCTGGAGATCCATTTATCTGTTATAAAGGTTTAATCTACGGTGCTAGAAGCTGACAAAGCTGAAGACGATACGGAAAAGACGTTTTGCACGGCTTAGCATCCCTTGAGACACTTATCCAACGAGCTTATCCGAAGATGAAGCTCACTGCGAATGAGCTAATACGAACATGTTCGTTTTTGCTTCTTGCCGCTAGGTCACCGACAAGCAAGACTATTCTTATTTGTGAAACATGGGATCAAAACTAACATTCAGTGAAATTCTTTATCTTGACATCACCCGTTAAACTGCTTAATGCCACGATGTCGCTTCGAATCAGAATTTACATTCGGTTATGTGACTGTGACAGCGGAGCACTTTTAGATAGGTACCCTTTGAAGTCAACACTGTACTTTTATATGACCTAGGGTTTTATCGTCTTTAATTTACTGGAAAGATTCAAACAGTTATTCCCCGAGATTTGAAAATTATTAAAAAACAGATAATTCATAAAGCAGAATACAGCGAATGCAGCAAAATTGTAAAGTAGCTTTTATGCTTCATGAATGTAGCGAAGCGTAACAATGCATTTATTGGCTTGGCAAGGTGAAACTACAACTCTTACTTTCTTGCGTCAATGGGTTTTAAAATGAAGATAACAAATCAGCAAACATTTAGTATTTTATTCAAGTTAATCATGCAATCGAACATAAACGAAATTGAATGTGAAAAGGAAATAAACACTATAAACAGTAGGCTAATTTCTCATAATCTTGCAAAACTTTCATAGACGATACGATCATGCAAAAGGGTGCTATTTACTTGAAGATCTTGAGTGACTCATGCTTTAGTCGAATGCCTTGGGTGGCAAACATCATTGTCAAAATGTCGTGACGCTTTATTAATGATTTAAATATGAGTGGATATTGGCATGAATTTAGTTGTTTCTCATAGTAGTAGCTTCCAATTGTAAGGTGATTGAAATTGCTACAGACATTGCTTTTAGCTATAAAATTAAAAAAGGCAGGATCTCTTTAGGCATTTTCTCCGAATGAGGAAGGTAAAAAAAGGTTTTTTATGCTAATCATCTTTTAGCAATCATTATCAAAGCAAAATCGAATTGAAAGAGCATTGATATAATCCTGGCAAGATCTGTGCAGCTACCAATGTGTAAATACGTCAGTGACTTCAAAGGGTCATCGAATGCAGTTCAATTCAGTTCAAAAGTTACAGTTCAAAAGTTTGTGCAGCAAAAAAGACGACTACAGTGAACATTAGAAAAAGACTAGAAAAGGAAAGGAGAAGGAGGGAGGGGAAGGGGGTAAGGTTGCAGACAGATCGATTCATGAGCAAAATGCACCAATATGGAAGATGATGCCAAAAATTCAATACAGCGGACTTTGTAAGTAAGTATATACCTGGAATCTTATTTGGTCCTCAGCATCTGTTTTCATCGGAGTCTCGACTTCAGTTATTAATAATTTGTCATCTTTCTGGCCCTCTGGGGGGAGATCGACTAGAAAGAAAAATATTGGTTATTCAAGCAGGATATCCTTTGGAAAAGACAATCCATTATGATTGCAGTCATTATAATCATCAAAAAAACACTTTATACATTAAATTTTCGCATCAAACGATTTACTTGACACTGTCAAAGAAATTCGCCATGAAAATGGCGCAACTTTGCATTTTTCAAAGCCGACAAAAGGACTTTACGTTGCTACTGAACGAACGTAAAACAATTTCTGCAAACACTCAATATAACAAAAAAGGGAAATAACAGAAACAATGAAATTACGCTTCTGAATTACGATTTCAAATTGTTCACTACATTTTGCTACATTACTTAATACATCATGCATAAACCAAAGCTATGTGTGAGAAATATGGCAAAAACTATGAAAAACTATGCATTTTTGTGCCTTAGTAAGCAATATGGCAACATGGTCTTTGAGCGACGCTTCTTCTTTCAAAATATATTCATCTAGTTTCAGACATTAAATTATTTTAACATTCCTAGATGTCTTTCATAGTATTTTACATAAATACGTTCTTGTGTTCTACAGGAAAATATATTGTTACAACAATACATACCAATCAAGTCACAGTCCTCGATATCTGAGGGCTTGCCAGCACCAAATAAACTACCACGCTCCTGTAGAAAGCATATCAAAATTTTATAAGTACAACCGATATTTCCCGCTTGAACTCTCTGTTAAAAGAATACAATGCAAAATTTTTAGCAGTGTCAAATCAGACCATTCTCCGCCATACTCTAATACATTCATGTTGATAGAGGACGGCACTAGAAAGATTATAGTCAACTACTTTGGTCTAGACAACCTGCTACGTAATCATAATTTTATCATTACATTGAAGAAAGATATTTTGGTAGACAGGGATGCTATTCAGTTCCATTGAGAGGTTTTGCATTCTATCAGTGACAGTGACTCATTCAAGTATCAGGGTAGCCTTGGTGAATATCGACAGATGTGGTAGGGACCAGTTCGTGCCACACAACAGTGTCCAGAAACAAAATAAAAACTGTATGATAACCTATTGTTAAAGGATCTATAAAATAGGCTTCGATAAGGAGAAAAGTTAAACTATGATAACTAAAGACTTTGTGCTAAAAAAACTTTAAAAATGCTAACAAAGGTTTCTTAAGAAAATGGCAACTTTATGTTTCTACTGGCGAGACATAATATTCATTCTCTTATCTGCATTCTACATAGTGTAAGAAAAACAGCCAAAGTTTTATTTAATGAAAAGCAAAGGTTTGGTGGATATCTTAAAAAGATTCGAATACGAAATACCTAGAATCAATACATTAAATTCATTATGAATAATTATCGAGAGCTTTGAAAAATTTACCATTTGTTAGTATAGATATATTGAGCTTTTGGTTAATAACAAAGAAGATAATGATGATTGCATAAGGAAATTATAGGCCATTACATTAACACTAAGACGTCCATAGCAAGATAAAATGGTTTACTATCCAAAAGTCTCCAAAATTTAGTATTATAGGGGACATTAACCGCTTTATATTTTAGGTTTATCGTGTAAATCCGATATATTCAAACACTACTTTCTGCTATCTTTGAACGCCTTGAGAATTATACAATCTTTCCTTTGCAACATCATCGCCATTTAATATCTTATTGATTTATTTTCCACGAAAAAGATGGAACCAAAGGCATTCTATACTTAAAAAGGATGTAATACACAGATCTGTTCTTCTATTCTGCAACAATAAGATCCACTATACTTTCTACATGTCGCCAGTAAACCAATTAACAACGTGCCTTATATCTTGCGGCTAAAATGTTCATAATCTTTGAGAACAGGGTTACCCAGGCGAAAGTGCGTGATATAACACGCGGGTCTTGCGCTTCGAGCTGCCTACAAGGGCATTGATACCATCCCAAACGCGGTGTTTCATTATTTAGAGATTTGCCTACACATCGTGCGTCAACTGTGCAGTTTCCCCCGGCAAATGCCACAGAGAACAAGTTTGGCATTCAACGCAGAGAATATCCCATGTAATCAAGTGGTTTCAGAGTTTCATTAGATAGTTATTGAAGCGGGCAAGATCAAAGTGATAACAACTGCAACATTTGCAGGCTCGCTACTCTATTAAACTCTAACCAAATTAAATGCTTTCGATTTGGGTTATTGCTAAGAAAAGAAGTATGTAAAAACTAAAGGAATACGCTAAAAAACTAAAGAAATTTATCAAAGCAAATTTAATTTTCGAACGACTTAAGAAGAATGACGGTGCACCTGGTGCCCGTTGAAGAAGCAGAAGGTTTCGTTCAGGCCCTCGTTTTCTCTTATCTATCCTCGAGGTTTGTGTGAATGTCACTAACCGGTCGCTCTATGATAGAAGCGCGAAAGAAAGGCGGGAATCCGAAAAGAAAATAATAAAACAAAAAGAATTCTTAACAGAAATCAAGCAAATTCGCCTGGGTCAGCCGCTAAAATCTTCAAAATATCAACAGAGGTCTTCTATCTTCGATTGCTTCATACGGGAATTTTCAAAGAAGGAAAATAAAATAAAAACATTTGAATCTCCGATGATTGTTGCTTAGATAAACATCGGCAAGACATTATTATGATGACAGCAGACACAAAAGACAGTAGACAACACAGTTCCTGTCCGAGCCCTCTGTGATCAGTGGAGATTATCCACAACCGAAAACATTAGTAGAGGTAGGCAAACATACACCACAAAAAGAAAGCTAGCAAAGCAGCCTATAGGCTACCGAAGCGCGTAGGTTCATGTGTAAAACACGGGCTGTCACTTCAATGACTGCCATTTCGTAAAAGGCCCTCTAAGAGAGAGAATGCTCCTTAATGTTTGAGAATGCTCCTTAATGTTAGAGAATACACCTTAACTCAGAGAAATGTTCATCAAATAGTTTGTCCAACCAACAGGGCGGGGATTTTGCAATTGACTAAGAAAGCTTTTAAAAAGCGCTAATTTAAAGTGTCAGTGAAAAGTTAAAGAATACCACAGCTTAAAAACTGAGCCTCGTGCGTACCACGTAGGACAACCTTGTAAACGAGGGTTGAGGACGGAGGGCAGGAGAGGCTCTTGTGTTAGTTAGATATATTTGCTTCCAGGCGCGGGAAGTTTACCTCTACCAAAGGCAAGATGACAAATCAGTACCTCAAAGTAACTTGATGTGAAGCAGATATAGTATCATTTAAGAGAAGTGTAATGAAAATGGGCTTATCCAAGTACACACAACCACATGTCCAGACTCCGTTTCCCAAGTCCGTGATTTATGACGCACAATTGCCGGTAAAATAACGAAATAATAACCGACTCAATCCAATATGAATACAACAGGCGGCAGTTTCAACCGGTAAAGTCGCTTCTTTTGTTCCTTCTTAGCTTTGCAATGATCGCAAAAGGTAAATACTCATATCCAGTTTGCTTTATATGAAAAGAATACAGACAGATCCTTGCTTTAACATCCAGGTCAAGAATCACGCGGCCCTGGTAGATTCATTACTTTAAACATCGCGCTACAATCATGTCCGCTCCGTGGGCGTCAAAAGTTTAGGGATGGAATTTTTTGTCTAAAGAATTTGTATTTTCGAAATTTTTACACCTCGGCTTTCAAGTTGGGGCATTTCAGGGTGCAACCACGGCAGTTTCCTGGGACAATGGATGTCAAAATCGATAAGAAACAAAGCAATGGCCACCCAAGGGCTGCAGAAAGCATGACTTATACTGCTCTAGGCACGAATTCAGCTAAAGGCGACCCGTGTACTTCCAATAGCTAAGTTTCTTTTCAAGGTCATCCAAGTAAAATCTATAATCAAAGAATCGAACACATCAAGAGTATAGCGACGATCACCAGAAACACATTTATAATCGGCAAGCAGCCTTGATTTGACCTAAGATAAGGAAGAAATGTATGAGAACACCCCTTTTAAGACAGAGCTGAAAGCAGACGGGTAACATATTCCCTGTGCCTAAGAGGATCGCCTAGCAAGAGCTATTCATGTCTAAATTTTAGCAAATGAGGCTTTTCGCGTAAAGCAACATAGAAAGTCTTCGTGGTGAAGGGAGGATTATCTTCTTTAGAAGTCAATAAAAATTGAAGGAAGGTAAAACGTTGGTTAGTTTTCTAGGCATTCAAGGAGGCCGCAAGGAAACGAAAGACGCGAAAAGGGAATTTCAACGTAGCTTTAAAGGTTTGGACAGTTAAATGAGACTATGAAAACCAAGAAGATGCAAGTGCAGTGAGATGACGAAAAAGTGCGGCTGCGCTTTGTGAATTTATAACAAAGGAAGTGTTTTATGATGCTTTTTCTTTAAAATATAGTTACTGTTAACAAAAAGTGCAATCTTCCGTTATGGTATTAATAAAGATAGAAGAAAAATTTCTTAGTGCAAAACTCAAATGCTACAACAAATAAGATAAAAAATGTAGCAGATAAATAAAGGAGTTCGTTTAAAAGCGTTGAAATCTCCCGGTAGGATTTGAAAAACTTTCAATCCTCATTCTTAGAGTCAGCACGTTAATTAAAAATTAAAGTCAGAATTGAAAAAGGTTAAACAGGTTTTCCATCGATTAAAAACATGCATGACTGTTTAAAAAAATACTTTTGCAAAATGCATTTAATTTCAGAAATGGAATGGAAAAATATGCCAAATCCCTGTGTACTTTTGGGCTTTAATGACAAGCCAATAACCAACCTTATATATTCAAAGAAGCTTACTAATTTCAAATTGCTAACTCAGAAATTAAACTGATTTAGACAACTTAAATATAACTGATAAAGCAGTTTACAGTTGTCTCTTCTATTAAAGCTTATCTTTAGTTGGTTAATGTTTTTTACATTTATGCTCTTATACTACCATGACAAAAACGAATTATATCTCATCTACTTAAAAGTAATTTTTGATGGCTAACCCTTTCAAGCATTTTTCTAAGATTTCAATAGATATAACTAGAATGAGGTTGTAGAAAACAATTTATATTTAAATACAATGAGGAAAGCTGTGGTGGAATTTTCGTGATCAACAGCTCTCCCAGGTGTTCATTAACTTTTGATCAATTTCCATTAAAAATTCTTCCCAAAAATCAGGAGTGCTGGTTCAATATGACAAATGAATTATTTTAAGGCACGAGAATAATCTGATCTCATTATTCATGGGTCCAAGGGTAATTTTTTGTCAGCTATTCAGCCCTTAAAATGTCATTATTCAGCCCTTAAAATTTTAGCATTTTTGGAGGAAAGTAATTTCTTTCGAGTGCCACTGGTAGCGTGATTTTGGCATTTTTGAGACAGGTAGCAAATAGGTGCAAATACGATTCTTTCAAAATAATTTTTCTTTTTTAGATTGAATTTCATTATCAGAAAGAGCTTATTGTATGATAAAAATTGGTTAAAAGGTCACTTTTTGAAACTGAAGAAATATATTTCGGAGACAAATGAGATTCCACTTCCCTAGCTAGCTTTATACTTCATCTGTTGCCTTAAAGTTAATGTTCACTAATCTGAGATGAATTTGAAAGTCCATGTTACAACAACACATTCAATACCATCAAAAAGCCACACTAAAATTTGCTATGGTAGTTGATAAAGTTAATAGCCCCAAACTTTTTTTGCAAAATACAGCATCATATTTGTTATTGCTATTAGCAACTTGATTAGTATAAAACCTATCAAAAATATGTTTTAGAATTTTATGACTTTGATGCAAAAGATTTTACAAAAATATATAAAAGATATAACTAGGTGTTTTACAATTTTAAATTTACAAAACTTTAAGTAGAAATCACTTCTTTAATTTCTAAATTTCTAAAATAATTAGTTGATTTTTAACAACTTTCACCAATTAAAACATTATCAAGAGTCAAAAACTGTGTTTTAGTTTGGTATATATATATTTCTTAATAAAGTAAATGTTTATAACCCATGATCTTATAAACATCAGAAAGTGCAAAAAATTACAAACCTTGAAAGGTTCTGTGCATGTGTACTTGTATCCACTGCTAGTTTCAAAGCATTCTTCACTTTTCAACTTTAACACACTGTTACAGTCTGACTGGCATATTGACTCTTCAGAGCTCAAGCATTTTCCTATGGATATCAATGATGAATAAATTTATATGTAATTGTTTGTAGATTTTTCACTAAAGTTCTTTTAAAAGACTCAAGCATATTATAAGCATTAACATGTGGAAAAATCATTAAAACTAAATTAAAATCTATCAATGGTTGCTTATCATAACTGCAGAAAAACAGAGACTTCAAAGCATTCCACTTACAGGATTTTTAAGGAAACTCGTGATACTAGCTGAATATCATATTTTGCAATATGTCCATGCCCAATATAGTATATATATAGACATCGAGGTTTGAGTGTGGTAAAAGCTGAAGGGTTAAGCACAAAAACCACTTGTAATTGAAAAATTTCAAAGGGCTCACAGGTCATATCCCAAAAATGTGTATATGAAGTATACTATGTAATATGTTTGTTGTTCCTTTAATCTTTTTATTACTTCTTCTGCTTAAGGTGACCATGTATGCCATATAAATTCTTGGACAATGAGGGATGATAAAATTGTGGGGAAAATATGATAGACACACCCTCTACCAGACTTGGTGCATGGGAGGTTATCAGCTTAGAGAATTTTATTCAATTACATAAACTTAGACAAAAGGCAATCTGTAATTATTGGAACACAATAAAAACTAGCCTTGATATGATAGCCCAATGTCTTGGTAATCGAAAATCACACAATGACTTTGATATAACTACAAGCTTCTCTCTTGTATCTTTACAGGTATCAAATTTAAGTTTTTTAAGGCTTTCTAAGGTTTACCTTTCAACTTTGATCAGTTTTTCTAACTGACATTGAGGCAGTTGTTAACAGACAGGTCGATAACATGTCCACTGATAATCAAAGGGCATGTAGGATTATATACACAAGTATTCCAGACACCCAATTAGCCAAGAGAAGATAATTTTCTCTTTGAACTGAAGTGTATAACATACAGCTTATTGGGACGAAAGCAACATTAAACTGTCACTTTTGAAGTGACACACAAAAGACTTAGATTGAACATGCATTTGGAATTCTAGGGTCTTGACCTGTGAGGTTAGCAGTCTTCAAAAGTTTTTGTAAGTTCAAGGATCTGACATTTAATCGCTTGCTGAATGCGATAACGAATAAATGCGGATGACCTTGAACAATGTTAAAACATGATCATAAATGACAGTTGCAATAAAGCGAGAATCTGATTATTTTCCCTCACCTTCTGGGCCAAGTCTTGTACCGATAAAATAATCATCATCGGCGTACCTCAATCCTGGAAAATTTGAAAAGAGGAAGAGAGTAAGAAAACGACTTTAGTTGATTTACGCTCAAAAAAACTTTTTGGCCGATATGGTTTGCTAAATAAAGGCATTTATAAAAAATCGATCGCGTTTCGTACAACTTTTTTTACACCTCACACCGGTGCATATCGTTGCGAAACACTTGAAGTAATTGAATTTACAAAATTAAATGATTGAAGCAATTAAAATAGTTGCAAAATCTGATCGACATGAGCACCTCTTTTATTTCCAATCAACGGAAATCCTACGCCAAACTTCGTCCATTGTTGAAAGGTAATTTTAAGTAAACATTTTCAATCGTGATACCAATCGTTGAAAGTAGACTCATTTTCTTGCGATGTGTTTTCCTTGCGCTAATATTTCAACATTTTCTAAAATCGCATCTTAATATCAAGCTAAATCGTCAATCAAGAAGTAATTCTTCATAACCTGACCTCAATAAATGCGGTTAATATGTCTGTTGTTTAATAAAGAATTAAAACCGATGGATAGAAAAATTAATACAAACCGTGAGCCTTACTGCAAACTTTTCCCATAGTCTGTTCTCAAGTGATAAAATCTGCAGTGGTTCATTCAGTTTTATGGGTATGATTTCCAAAAGTCTTGTACAACCACTCAAAACCTCGATGGCCTTCTTCAAATTTGATCGGCTCTTGAGTAAAATAAATAGGCTTTGCGTTGTTGTTTGTAGGAATGTATCCGGGTGTTTGGAGGGAATCTCGACAACGATTGAGTTTAGGCCGTCTTGTGACTATAACAGTACCTTTGAAACGGTTTAAAAAGTCTATTTAGGCATTTCATCATACATACTTACAACGGCTTCGACTAGCAACCTGTCTGCTTGCTGCCGTGAGGACTATGTAACCAAAGGTAGATGAGCACGATCATAAAGCTGTCATAAGTCGGCAAGAACAGGTAGCAAGTTCCAAAATTATTTCATCTATGTTTCATAGCATACCGTCGAATACAAGAAAAAGTAAAGTGATAATGGTCGGCGAGTGAAGACAAGAGAACTCTCGCGCAAATCTATTCAGAGAAGGCACGATCGGACGAATTCGATGCCGAGCAGTTCTTGTTTTCTTCTTAATGTGTTGTGGCGAATGAAATCTTGAAAGGTGCGCTTTGCGCGGATACCACAAAGGGACCGCTCTGACAAAGACAAGATCATGCAAGCTGATTGTTGAGCGGCACTTGTCAGGTTTCTTCGTAGTCAATAGAAGGGTTTCGTGCGTAACCTTCACGGGGGTTTCATCCGGCATGTCGGAATCATGCCTGAGAACCAGAGCTTTACTGCTGTGGCCTCGGCTAACTTTCATTGCAAATTCTTTCTTTACAGTAAAATTATTTCCCTGGCATAATTTAATAGATAGAAGTAATTCTTCAAAATAAGCAATTTTCAAGGTATACCAATGGGAAGCTTGTTGAAAAATTACTATTCCAGCAGCCGGGCTTTACAATTTCTCAAAAAATCTCAGCTTGATATGAAGGTCTTTGAAAATAGCCCTAGAGATTAAATAAATTGTAGCTGATGCTAATGCATATGCATGGTATACACCAAATTGCACGGCTGAGAAAATTTGGTGAGTTGCCATGCACCAACAAACTTTGATCTTTACCGACTACCGGATTACAATTCGTTAATCATTGATTGCAGGGGGGTTAATTAACAGCAACAAAGCGAACTAAAAAATGTAAGAGATGCGGATAACACTTTTCCTTATCAATGAATGAGGAATGCATAGTGCGTGTAATTGTTGCTTTCTGTTGGGTTTCGTTATCAAACGGCTTATTGAAAGATTAAACTGTCTCATAGAACTGAAATAATGCAAGGAATGGAAATGAAGATAATGATTTCTTTTTTTAGAAAAATATCGTTTATATTTATATTCAAAAAAGGATCTCCTGGAGTACCCACTACCCCCAAATGGTCATGGAAAATTTGAATACCTGATGACCTGATCAATCTTTGGGACCAGCTCCCGAAGAAGAAAAAACTGCGGAGGAGCTCCTAGATTGTGATGTATTGCCAAACTAAGCCTTGTCGTTTGTTTCCAATCAAAGCATTGCACAAAACAGTAAAGCAAGCGATTTGATTATTATATTATGGTTTCCTATTACCATTTTTATCGGCACTGCGCTATTATTTGCATCCGATATCATGTTCATCATTAAACCATTAGACCAAATGAAAATAAAAAAATGTGCCCAAACAGAAAAGGAGAATATACTTTCCTTCCTCAGACTATTTTTGTGTCAAAGGAAAACATTGACAGAGTAATGCTAAGTGCAAGGTCCATACTTGGTAATTGCACCAAGAGAGGGGTAAATTTATATTTGATAGAGGCGTAAATTTTTTGCCATCTTTTCTAAAATTGGGTCCTTTTCAAGATATCGCCCCCGCAGTTAAAATTATTTGAAAATGCTTTAACGTGGAAAATAGCTATGGAGAATAACTTGTCTGAAAGGGATGTGGAAAACAGTTAATGTAAATTGCAAAATCCTGTTGACGCTTTTGAAGGCTTTCTACGTCTTATTATGTGGACTTTTAAATCAATCAGTGTATCTAGTGCCAAAACTTGCGGTCAAAGACCATGCTAGGCAAGGATCAAGGAAGTCTGGCATCAAAAGGATGGTGATCGCCATTGCCTGCTAGCTAAGATGGCGTCTGGATAAGGGTTTCCATAATTCTATAGTTTTTTCATTAAATGGTTGGTACAATTACTGTAAATAATCTTCAAGTGAGTCACAAAAACAAGTGGAACAAAATAACTAATAAATAATCTTCTCTCTCGTCTCCTTTTCGCATCGAGGCTCACTTTGCTAGCACAGCTTAATTTATTCTAATTGGAGATAGCTCCTGATTCGCTGTCTCTACCCGCTCAGAAAATTGCGAGAATAGATATTCTTCCATTGAAATGTTAGAGAGAAGAGTCAAGAATTGTTGTTTTTGCATTCTGATAAGAATTTAAAGCACGATTTTCCTGTGAAAATGTACTCAAGAAGATAGCTCATAGACGGGGCCAATGCTAATCATATATGCACATAGTTCATTAAATGCTGCTTTGCAAGGTACGTTATCAGAATAGTTAGGAGTGGTCGTGATAAGCACCAGTAAACATGAGTGATAAAAATCAATTCCGGATCAAGAAGCAGCTGCTTCGATCCAGCGAGATCAAGATATTATACTGAATTCTTTGTAACTGGTGAACGTGTGTCGTTACAAGTAGGGGCTGAATAGAGAAGGCCCTTTGGAAGTGGATGATAGACTGCTTGCTCAAATGCTGACAAAGCAATCAGACAAGATAGTTTCAACCAATCGATTCTTGGTGAAAAAGTGGCACTCTAGAATCTTTGGAACAATCGGATTATTTTGAAGACAGATTCTTTAAGGCTACAAATGCAAACTTGTCAGCTTTAACAAATCTCATGTAACTTTTGGCTTTCTAAACAACTCTTTTCCTTCAAAATGTTTTGGCGAAACATGCAACATTTCTATCCTTAAAATGACTTTGAAAAAGCAAGCATTCCAAAACATACTCAAGCTTTCCATTTGACAATCAAGAATGTAGAACTTTAGAATAATGATCGAAGACTTAAGCTAGGGAATTTATATACCCAGTTGTGGCTCGAAATTCAGCCAATCAGAACAGCTGTAGATATGGTTGCCCAATCAGTGGCGTTTCGCGTTTGCCTAGAATATAATTCCAATAAGGTCCAAGGGTGAAAACGAACTCCTTCTGTTTACACAATAGCGGTTTTCTATTTAACTAGCGTATTTGCACCACTAGCAATACAGTATTTCGAAATTCATTTCAAATAATAGTCAACTTAGAATTTTTGGATAGTTCAGTTATTCGGCGTCGGCATTAAAATTCACAAGAGCTCGGTAGAGAAAAGGAGATCTTTCTTTAAATAGTTCAAAACCGCGTCAGTAATGACGACTTTCTATTCTCTATTCAAACAAAGTGACAGGAAAAATTAATGCAATGTCAATATTTGAATCATTTTCAGGTACAGGGCAAAAATTATCTTTGAAGACCTCTCCTGGTTGAGTAAGGAAAATCCAATAATGCGAATAGAATTCTATTCACCTCATTCATTTGGAATATCTAAAGTCAAGCCAATAACAAACTTACAAATGTATTTTGGTAAGAAGTACAAATAATGACATTTATGCTGACCTTGGAACAGTTGCGTACCTTTGCAGCGCTATATCTCTTTCTGTTGTGATAGCGCAACTTGGTAATGTGCCAAAAATGTTGGAATAAAGTTTTTATTGAATATCTTGATATAAAAATAGCAAACTATACAGGCAACACGGAGCGATGAGAAAAATGGGAAGTCTAAAAAAGTGGAGGGGGGCTAAAACCGAATAAAAAAGTCTTTACTGGTGACTGATCTCTTAATTTTTTGCATATTTAGCAAAAAGCTCAGTGCCTTTTATACCGTGCTGACAGCGTTTTGTAGCAAACTGAGGCAGGAAAAGCGAACGAGGTTAGCTGTTAGTGTAGAATGGGGTGGCCTGAAGCCCACTAGAGTTGAAAAAACCGTCAAAATGTCATACCGAGGAAAGGTTCTAGGACCTCAATAAACATGCATCCTCGATGTTTCGTTGCTCATACGCTTACACTCTTTTTTGTAAGAACAATGTGTAAGAACACGAGCCAAAATTAATCAGAATTGAGGCTGTTGTTAAATGGTAAAAGAAATAGTACCCCCACTATACTCAGCCACTCTTTCCCTGCTGCAAAATTCCGTTTTGTATCTAAATTTTATCAGCTTACTCCATAATAATTTAATTAAGCTGGTCTGAATCTCAATTCCCACTATCTTTTTTTAAAATAGAACAGCCATTTACAGAATCGCATTCCGTGGTGACGTTTAAAACTCGCATTCCCTCAATATTCACGTCACTAGCCCTGCTGCTTGTAAAACTGAGTTCGAAATTAAGTTCAATGATAAAATTGATAAGTTTAGCATCAAATATTGACCTTTCTAATATGACTTACAGTGCAGTTCCGTAGGAAGATTATACTGTTGGAATAGGAGAATTGTTTGGAATAAAAGAAATAAAATATAACTTGATTTGAAACAATATACTTTTATAATTTTGAGAGGTGCTTGACTCCCCTTTACAATAATTGTAACTCGGGTCCTGCTTTCAGGCCCTTAAAGTGGTTACAGGCTCTTTAAGTGCCTGATCAATGAGGTCAAAAAATGAATTTCAGAAGAAAAAAGTTCAAAAGAAACCTTAAACCTTTGTGTATTTGCCTGAGAGCTATTAGCACAATCTACCCTTGGAACCACTTTTCGTAATTTTTAATAGCAATCTTGCTTCATGGTTTACTACTCGTTCACCAGATTTAGGTGTTGACTCTGGGGGCTCTGGCCCCCTCAGAGGGGATTTATCGAGTTATGTCATAAGCTGCTTAAAGGATACCAACTGAAAATTTATGGATTTTTAGATCTCGCATGTTCACTTTGTCCTGCAGATAAACTGTTCTTGTCCCAAAAGTTTGCTTGAATAATTGGCTTTTTGTTTTTTTAGAGACAAGAAACAACGGTCGAAATTGCTGAAAGCTTCCTCCGTCATAATCATCGAGCGTACAACAGGACTTTCCCATGGCAAACAACTTAATAGCATTAATATCAAACATTTTTAAAGCAAACTATTCTTTTAACTGAGGAAAATTTGATACGTATCGCAGAGCTTAAGCTGATGTTGTGTGCACACAGGAACAATCCTTATTTCAATTAAAAATTTCGCATCGCAAATAAATGGCTTCCTTCTTTAAATTTAGTAAGATCAGTAAGTCTTTAAAGATATGGTTTTGGCTGTTATGGCTTTGGCCAAAGGCCAGTTGTTTGGAACTGAATCGAATTTGATCTGCTTGAGTTGCAATGGTAAGAATGTTGTAAAAGGGATTTTGAAAGCAATAAACATGAGGTTATTCCACCTATAAACAGTCGCTCTTGTTGGATGGTTGCTGTTGGATTGCTTATTAAAAGAAGATAATGATTTTCATGAGTTTCAGCAGATTGCAAATAGTAACACAATTTTTTTACAAGATAATAAAAGCCCTTTGCTCGAACCTCTGTCCATCAACCCAATACACCAAGAAAAGTCAAGTTCTTGAGAGTTGTATTGATAGTCAGTTTTAATTTATATCAAACAGAATATCTTGCCCTCCCATACATGC